AAGAAACTATTGTTTAAATCTTTTAAATGCATCACGTTACTTTTTCCATCATCGTCCACTCCTAGAAATCAGTTGCGGTTTAATTCTTGTGCAACTTTTTGTGCTACAAGTACTTTAAAAAGTGTAAAAAAAGTTAAGTGGAAAGTAAAAAAAACAATCAATACTCGATTGATGTCTTCAAAATTTTAAATAATTATGACGATTTTAATCTGTACTTTTGAACTGTATTTCATGGATATAACTTGAATTATAGTTTACGACGTTATGACGTAAGACTAGTCACGTAGGTCCATTGATGGGCCGCGCTTCCGGCCGTAGAGCATAGCGCCACTACATCCTGCCCGGCGAGCGTCTGCCACACGCTACTCGCAGACACTTTAGTATCATCTCCAGTCCATTCATAAATCATATCCATTGGACAACAACGATTCTTCAACTTCTCAAAATATACGATTTGCTTTTTTTAAAATGAAATATTGAATGTGGCAAATGGACAACATGGTTTGAGCCCTAACTAAGGTCTATGTCAAACAGTATTTCATATTTTGAAGCAATTATAACGAATTCTCCCATGAAGTCACGATGTACAAAAGAGAGTCAAAGTCATCGATTACGAGACATTATTCGGTTTGACTAAACCAGTGCAGTTTATCTAGATAGATATCTTTTTGAGGAAGGAATGTATCATAAAGAGATCGATAACTTATAAACATTTATATATTAAAGTAATGCAAGTCTTGACACGGCTTCCCTGGCGGCGCGAGGGTCGGCCGGCGCGGGTTGTTCGCGAGGCGTTTTTGTAACGAACGGCGCGTGCGCAGGTGGCCGCGCACCTGCCGCCTGCGCACTGGCTTCCATAGACACAGCATACAACACCAACTGACACTTAGTTTTAAACATTGATAAATAAATTACCACTTGCATTAGATACTTTGACAGAAACGTAAAAGTTAAATTGTCTCACAATCGAAAGTAAAAGAGTAGGTAACATTGTAAACAAGAAGGATAGTGAACATATGTATCGGCAATTAGTTCATTATTAAAATATTTGATGAATTAAAAAAAATATAGCTTACCCATGAATTACAAAAGTAATAAAACACAGCTGCAAAATCTTACAAATGTCAATTCACCCTCATTTAATAGAACGGTTTACTAAAACTCTATTTATTCATTTATTTATTAATTAACAAATATGTAACAGATACACAATCAATGTAAAAGTTATAGACACGTGTGTAATGAAGCGTGAACAACGCGCTGTCTGCTACTTTATCTACTCTGTGGTTTAATAGGTCTAGACAATATAATGCTCGGTCGAGTACAGTTTACCGCTTATTGATCTACGATTGGATTTCTAAGAATTGTTTATGGCTCTAACTATGAACGTAATGTGAGTATAAAATGCCATTAGAACGTAGATTTAATTTAGACTTGGCCCACATTATTTCTATCGATTATTTATTTTTACGTAAACTTGGACATAATTTTACTTCTTAACTAATTTGTTTTATTTCATTATTGTGTATCTGATCAATACAACATAGATTTTAATATACATTTGTAGTACTACCACTGCCAAGTAGAATGTAATTATAAAGTCTACGTAAAATCTACTAAGTTCAGCTTCTCTAGAAGTTACAGTTCAATTAATATAAGTTTAGTATCATAAAGAGACAATTACACAATCATACCAACATAAAAATAAAAAAAATTATAAAAGTATATGAACTAAACTTACTAAAAATAAAGAGTTCCCTGTGGGTTCCCCAACGATGATTCCCAACACGTCGCCTCTGACCAGATCCGATATTTATTGCCAATAAAATCTGTTCGTATAGAATAATTAAACACAACATTTTACTCACTTCCCTGCTCAAAATAAAACGAGCGGAGAAATGACCGAAGTTTTAAGTTTTACGGTAACACGGCCACCAATGACATCCGGTCGAATATTATGTTGTAGATAAAATAATGTGTTTTTTGTTATAAATGTAGCTTGTGAAGAATATAAGAAATGTTTACATCGATGTTTACAATTTATTTATCCTAATACGAAATGTATTATAGCTTTATAAAAAATATTGTAGGTGTTGGAACTTATATCGAACCAATTTCATAACTGTAATTGTGGTCATACGTATAACATCAATTAGAAAGGGATGATTTTTTTTTAATTATAATAAAATATGTGATTTCCAATCAAAAGCTGAAACCTAATACGTCCTACAAAGAAACTATTAACCATAATACGTAAAAAAAATACAAACTCATAAAGTTATCAAATATAAAAAGAAATCTGTCATGTTAAAACTCTACTTTGACCTTGTTCACGCTACTAGTTCTTTTTTTTTAATTTACAGCAGCTGCTTGTAGATTAAATAAATTAAATAAGTAAAAAAAAGAAAAAAACAAGTTTATTATGCACCAAAGGAAACAATCAATTACGAAAACGTTGAACTTATTTATTTCTGCGAATTAAACGGGATATAAATTTCGGGCATCGTTTAGAAATTAAAAATAATAATTGGTGTTGATAGAGTATGGTCACGTGACAAGTCGCGGTGTCCCCGACGTATATTTAACACTTCCTGTCGAAAGATGCTCCAATTTTGAATTTGATTTAAACGCGCTACGATGACTGCGATTTCCTCTTATTTAACTGTCCATTTTCCCACGATTTCTTTTTATATTTATGGATTTTCCGGACTTGTGCAACAATCATGCAACACGGCCATAAATCAACTCATTACCAGCTGTATACCTATATAAATAAATATAATAATTATTCTTATGTTATACGTAATTTACAACGATTAAAATAATAAAGCTTAAAATTCTTCTGAAACCTTTATCATCTTGAGCTCACTGTACGTCCCCACCGAGGGGCTCGGAGCCTACCCTAAGTTAAGGGTGATTAGGCCATAGTCAACCACGCTGGCCAAGTGCGGGTTGATTGACTTCACACATATCTTTGAATTTCTTCTCAGATATGTGCAGGTTGCATCACGATGTTTTCCTTCACCGTAAGAACGTACCGAAATACATATGTAAATCGGGAATCGAAAAACACATTGGTACATGGCGAGATTCGAACCCAGGACCTGCAGATTGCAAGTCAAGTGCTTGACCCCTGAGCCACCGACGCTCTTTAACCTTTTTTCTTTAACCTTCTGAAACCTTTATAGCAAATGCAAAATATCGATTTACACGCTACGACGCTGTGGCTGTCTTTTTGCCTTGTAATGTTTTCAAAGTTTCAATTAAAATTTTAAGTTTTAGAAGTTTATTTATGGATCCTTAGACATAATAATTTACCTTGATCTTTGTAAAGTATGTTTTACAGAATTGTATACATTTTATAAGGCAATTCATACAAATTTACGTCAGTTACAAGAAAATAAAGATAGCGAAACAACCCTCGCTTTTCAACGTAAATTCATTAATTCTTAAACATGTCATACTCCACCTGGCGCTGGCACATTTGTGCAACACATTTTTTGTGTAGGAATTTTCGAAAGTGAAATCTTATCGAGATTTCTATCCTCGATTTATAGTTTTTAATTCAAATCAAATATAAACTTCCATTGGTAGTTGTAAAAGTATACACCCATACAATATTTAGTTTATAAGTTTCGAACATAACCATAACCTCTGTAATTTTTGAGATTAATAAAAATATAGCAACGTTATATTAATGATACATTTGATTACAAACATACGGGACGCTAAATTTGTTTACAAAGAAACTAGATAATTGGTGTCGCCATTTAAATATTAAATTATTTAAAGTGGCAACATTATGTCGCTGGCCCGACGTCGGCTGTCGTCGCGCGGCTCACCTGCGCCGCCGTCGCTTCTAAATTTAAAAAAAATCATATTTCGACTTCCGCTCTCGAATTGGAATTGGCGCGTATTTCGGCGGACTCTTTCGCCGAATACATTAATATGCGACGATTGTTAAAATACTAATAAATAGGACTTTGTCACGTAACAACCATTTAGGATAGCATTTTTCCTTTACAATATTGAGGTTTTTTAATTTTTTACTATCGATAGTGTACATACTACAGAAATATCTTCAATTAAATTATGTATTATAAAATCAATTAATCTAATTAAAAACATTAATCTGTTTACTGAATTGCCGTTGTTAAGGTTACGTTATTTGTATATTAAAAAAATAAATGAGCAAAAATGCACCATGCTCACATAGTATTTTTTTCGTTCCGCCAAAAACAAAAGCAATTTTCCAGAAATTATTGACAAGATATTTAAAAATAAAAACTTCTCAGCACGTACTGGCAGTCATAACGCCATATGGCAAGCTTAGCGCGTGCTTATCAAAAAAAGTTATACGAAGAGAGGAACATTTCGCGGCTCTCGAATTTCACCGAAAAGAAGTAAAAAAGCGCGGGAATCGAGTTGCAGCTGGTGGTGAGGCTAGGGTTACTGTCACATGTGGCCCACTCAGCCTAGTGCATATACTTACTTAAATTACTTGCAAATACAAATTTTATTTATTGTTATTCCTATAAAAATTACAAAAAAAAATGCAACTAGTTCGGCTAGGAAGTCACTAGCTCGAACACTGCAAATGAGCAGGTCATCTGATTATTTTCGATGTCTATGGTCAACAGATGTCATAAAATGTAGGAGATTAAGTACAAAAGTGTGAGTCATAACAGTAGGTAGTTAAGTGCATATTATTTATACATGCATTTCTCATGTACTTGGACATATGTCAAATAATTCGCAGGAAATACATAATGTATCTAGTTGTTCGTATATTTTACCGACTATGCAATAGCATTAAACTTTGAGGCAATTATTAATTGCATTCAGTTTCCTGTGACCTTCATGTTTAAGGAAATCAAAAGTTTTTATTATCCAGTCTATATAAATAATATTGATGACTAATCCAAAATCCTTTTGCCATGTTTCTTGATGCTAGTTTGATATTTTCGTAGCCTTTTTTTAAAAAAAAAGCTAATCTCAATTCTCAATCTTTAAAATGTCATATCATCAAATAAGTGAAGAGTCAAATTGATACATAGAGAGATCACAAGCAAAATAACTGACTAGTAGACTACTAAAATACTTGTAACAGAGTAGTTACCTGGCTGTTATTACACGTTAAGAGTTTTTTTTTATTAAAACCATTAGCTAAAAAAAACAAACGGTTGTCTTTGGTTTGACGTTTGGAAATGGAGATCGGCAGTTGATGTTTTATCTGTGGTCCGGGATCGTTCCGCGCCAATGGTCGTGGTCGACCTTTCGACCCGCGCGAGGCGTGGCCGCGTACGATTGGCGCGCCCCGCCTCGCGCCGCCCGCCGCCCGCACAACGCCTCCCGCACCAAACTTCTTCATCTCGCTGCTCTGTGGCTTTTAACACGATCACGATCTCGTTGATACTCCGACAGGGATACCTGGAAAATTATGTCATTACATTGACAATTACAAAGTAAAATATCTATTGAATTTACGTGATATATTTTCGGTTGAAAATTTGCTTCTTCAGATTACAAAACACAAATGTCTCTTTTACCCTGATCCATGGTAAAAATTAATGATAAATATTATTTTGGGTCAGCAAATATCTGTCGGTAAGCAGAAATTAACTCTATTTTCCGAGGAGTAACAAATTAAATCTTAGTATCTATAGGTAATATTTTGCTATCTAATACTTTAACAGTGTATAAAAGACAAAAAACTCTCATCTCACGGTTATTTACACAAAGTTATTTTGACAACAAAAGTAAAACAAAGTTTATCAAAGGAAGTTACCCGTGCACGTTGAGTGAGCGTGCTCGACGGAAGACTTACGGGGTCCCGGGGTCAGATCCCGCGGGAGCTTTTTACTTCGAACGTTCTTTCTTAGATTTATAGATGTCGCCTCGACGTCCGAAGGGAGCTGTAATTAGGCGACTTCGCTTCATTAAAATATTTCTATTTGTCTGCCTGACACCCAACAGTGATTTGTTTACACGCCTTTGTTCTTTCCTTGTCGCGCCCCATTATTTTTCTACTCCCAAATAGTTTTCTTTTTTACAATTTTTCGACAAATTCTTACTCAAAGTTTGTGCCAACATGTGAAAAAATGTGTAACTTTTGTTTGGAAATAAGCACCCTTACGGTTTGTTTTTTTTTTACCTGAAACGAAGTTAAATATATTTTGTATTTATTTTAAAAACACGTTAGCTTACCTTACTTAGTTTATCTACTTAATATTGACTGTTAACTAAATAAGCAAACTAATTATACATTATCTCGAAACATCCACCAGTACCTAAAGCTTTCGACTAATGCACCTAAAATACATAACACCACAGATAATCCCTTCATAAAAAGATCAACCTCCAAAACAAATTGGCAATTATACTTAATTTGTTGTATCATGTTTTCGAAAATGGACAAAAAAAACAAAAAGTCATTAACGATGTTGTAATGTCAGTGTCGACCTCCGGACAAGGCGCCCTTGAACCTTCGCAACACGCAATTCGTTCTTAAATTGATTGCCACTCATTGTGATTCACTCAAACATAACAAAAACAATCATAGTTTATGACACTCTAGTACTTTGCACTTTACCCCTTTTATGTCATACCTACATGCTTAATAATATTTATGATATTTATAACACTTCAAGTCTTTAAATCCTGGTTATCTACCGCCGAAGGATCTATCCTCTTTGATCCCTGTCACTCTTATTGAAAAAAACCAGAGACAATTATATGTTTTTTAGGTTGTACGAATAAGCTCAATACATTAAGACCATGCAATACACCCCACCTCATATGGAATATTGCATATGTTATATTAAAAAGTGAGACAATATTTAGCTCTTTGTGTAATACTGCGGTCAGCGGTCGTGAGCTGACCGCATCCAATCTAATTGTCACGGCCCGCCACCACCTCGACCAATCAGCGCATCCAAATAACTGCATTTTTATTATATTTGATGTTATTATATGCGATATAGTAATAGTGTGTACGTTTAAATTTGTTGTGTCGTCTAAAGACATTCACCTTAAACTGAACAGTCCAATTGTACAGTTAAAACTTAAGGTGTATAAGCGACATCTTAACTGTCAGTTGAACTGTACAGTTAAAGCTTTGTCTACAACTTCAGTATTAACAGTACAATTCGACTATTCAGCTAAAACTGAACGTTAGCAGATTTTAAAGTAGGTTAGGTACTTTACGAATTCCAAATGTCATGCCTTTTGAAGATAATAATCCTATGACTAAACTAGATATAACGTTGTATGTACAGTAAGAGATATTGTGATGCACACTCAGTCACAATCAAAGCGGCAGTCAATGAAATGGTCAAACAATCGTGAGAGTGATGACCCCGAGATACAGCGGTCGCTTGCTTGTCCGCCTCCCGGCCCGCAGACATCGCTCTATTGTTAAATTGCCCAATCGAACCGATAGCCCGCGTTGTTGACTACCGCTACTGAGACTGGGTATCGACCGTGATATTATCACATTACCGTATTGTAAATTTTCCATAAGTTTATAATCAGCATAAAGGATGTTTTAAATATTCAATTGTTCTAATACTTTTTGACATTATTAGTTAGAATCCTTTGGCGCGAATGGCGCGTTTTCGTTACCAAGTCAAGTTACCAAAGTAATATTGATTAGTGAGGGGACATAAATGTTGATATTTTAATAAGGATAGTGTTGCGCCGATACCCTGACATTGATTAACAATATGTACAAATTTTACAGCGATTAATAATTTCATCAGCAGTAAAGAATAGGTACTAAATTTTTTTAACGTTTGCAAAAACACTGCAAAAATGTGTTTGTTGCTAGCGATGTACATTTACAATTCAATGATTTATTACAACGAATGTGTTCGGCCATTTATCGCAAACTGTCTGTTTTAAAAAACCTCAATTAATAAGTTAATTTGTCCTATTCATTGGCTACACGTTACATAGAGTACCCTAAAGTTCAAAGCAATAAAGGTCTCAAAATGGATTCCGTCTATCGACGTGCATCGAAATTACCAAATTAATTAAATTTTATTAAAAACCCGATAAAGTTAACGAATACTGTTTTACATTTGAAAATTTAATTAAAAGGAAAATTATCAAAGATAAGTGGCAAAGGATATTGCCCAAGCGATGAAATAAAAACGAGCGAATTATATGCATTTTTATGCAGCCAGTAACTATCGAATGACTCGATTAGACTAAAAAAAAATCGATTACGGATGTAACACAACACCTTTTGTTCACTTAACGCTTTAATTTATTGTACAAAGATAAAGTTTCTTTTCAAAAATTCAAACATAATTAGGCGCTACTCAGTTAATTGGATGACATCGAATCTTTAAGATATAGCTGTCAAGTGAAATTGTATGAAGCAGTCTATAATCTAAATAATTACCTGGATAATGTGTTCGATTCTGTTACGCATAACTTAATAAAAAAATTCTGTACGGCTAAGGTAAAGATATCACTTTTAAACTGATTTAAAATGTATAGACGATCAGTTTCAGTTAAAAGAGCTTTTAAAACACTACTGATATTAATTGGTATTAATAAGCGTTAATTTCTCTTATCTTTCACCTTTCGGTCTCTTTTCTTCTAAATATTTGATACGACTAAGATTTGATTGTTTATATTTTTTAACGTTAGCTTTTGTTTACAAGAAGTGGTAGCTGTTTCATAAAAAAATCAGGAGATATACGAATAATATCAATTAATTCGCACAAATGATATTTTATTTTGCTCATGACCAGAGATAGGAGGCATAAATAAATTCCAGCTTGATCCCTTCACGCGTTTTTGAGAAAAAGGGTCTTGACAGACAGAGGGACGGACAATAAAGTGATCCTATAAGGGTTCCCTTTTATCCTATGAGGTACGGAACCCTCAAAATGGATGTAAACTAAACTATCTGTAATCCTATGTAAGTAACAATCCTATGATCGTGAAAAGTACTGATTTTAAAAATAAAACATTCCAAAAAGTTTGCAATTTGTGAGGTTGTAATGAATACAGTGGTGAGGCGAGGTGTGTAGTGACGGCGGCGGGTCCGGCAGAACAAAGGGCGCGCCGTGAACCGCGACGGTCGCGCCTCGCCGCGCGGGCCCCGCACGCCGCGCAGCGCACACGCACCACACACACAACACTGTTTTAAAATGTTCCGAATTCGAAAATTAAATCAAAGGATTTAACTCTTTGCTAATTTTTTTCATGTCTTTCAAGCCAGTACGTTGGATTACGAATACGGAATAATCATTATAATTATGAATAGAAGATCTTTGCATTCGTTGTATTAAATCTTAAGTAATAAATATATGAAAGCTATAATTAATATTTGCGTTAAATCAATAAAAAAGTATAACTTGACATCATTTATAAAATCAAGAAAGATAAGGTATAACGTAAGTTGATAAAGACAGGTCCGAATTTGCATAGCTTTCACAGGGTTTGTTACACAAACACACTTAGAATTTCCGCTAAAACGTCTATTACGAAAGATTGTTTAGCAACTGGTGTCAACAGTTAAAAAGGACGTTGACATAAAATGCTTTAACAGTATAATTAATAACCAACAAATTTGAAAGATTTACTTAAAAACCCTGTGCAAATCTGAGGCTTACTTTATAGAGCACTATTACTATTTGTGAACAAGACTCACCTCTACCAAATGAATCGTCGCCCTTCGTCGCTACGACAATGCTTGATGTTGTCAGGTCAACACTAGGTATTTTGACTTTGTAGAGACAAAAGACTAATACAGAATTTATTACGATCATTATATCCATCATTATCATTAACTTTACGTTATCAAGAACTAAATATTTAATATTTCATTTTGCAATTGTAACATTGTTTCTCAATACATAGTTCACAAATCAATCGATCAATGAAAATCTCTACAAGTGTCAGGCTTAATGGCAAAATAGCGACGATTGCCTCACCTGCCCGACATATCCTCCGGAAGCTGACTCTGACTTACGCAACTTAGACTTAACTTTATATAAACTGCTCATTCATTCACAGTGTAAAGTACACATTACTTCTTGTGTATTGCTGTTACTTACAAATGTAAATTTAATAAGCTATCATTAATATCTTATTTTATAGAAGAATGAAGTTTCAATAAAAAATTGAAACGTAAGGAAAATTTTGAAGATGCGTTTATGTAATCGAAATTTATTTTTAGTCTAGAAAATATTAGATTTTATTAAACGATTCATTGTTGCTCTTATAGGAGGCTACACGACCGGCGGTCCGCGGGAAGCGGGCACCTACTACCCCGAAGCGAGCGGCGCGACCTCCGCGCCGGGCGCTTCGCCCCTCGAGGAGTACTACCCGCCGGAGTACCCGTCCGGAGCGCCCGCCGCACCGCCACAGCCCTACCTCGACGACTACTACCACCATGCGCACGCGCATGCGCAGCCCTTGCTCACGCACGAACATAAATATCAACCGCACTCCTATAACAAGCCATACCCACGAAGTGAGTAAATGTTATAAATACCAATTAACCAGACTACTTCTACTTTATGCTAGGTTTACACAAAAATAATACAACAAATCCGTGTTACGTTCGCAGATTTTATAATAATAAAAATGTAATCTTATCAATATGTAAAGTAATTGTAGATTCGTTCATTAGAAAAAATCACACAACGATAGCATTAACAAAGAGATTTCTTGTGTTACGAATAATTAATGAACATATTCAATTTCAAGATGGCCGATCATTAACGTCAGATCCTTTCATCTTGTTTCAATGTGTTGTTTCTCGAAAATGTCACAGTAATGCACTAATTTGTTTATATTCCTTCTGATTCTTTTATACCTTTGGTTTTTTTTAATTATTACTACATTACAATTCGTAAAAAATATTTAAAGAGGTACAATCAAGGTTGGATGTTATTTTGTACTCACGTGTTAGTTCGAATTTCATAAATACGAATGTTTTTTTCATCTATCAACAACTTTAAAACACTGATCTTTGCGCTTGTTCTTAATTTGAGTTCACTGTGGTCGATTGTTCTTCGAACTCGAACGAATGTGTTAGTTTTAACAAATTGTAAGATTTTAAACCAGCTTATATCGAGTGCCACGCTCTAACTGACTAGTGGGAATCTCGCCTTTCGACATCCCGTGTGTGAATTTCTGAATATTTTAAAGTAAATGACACAAGTCGGCGACTCATATCCGCCAATTCCACATCCGTAGTTTCTTTTGCGATGTAGAAATCTAGGCGAAGTCCACCGGTTATATTATTATAACATCTATACTTTTAACTATGTGTTGTATGAATATTTTGACGAAGGTTTTGTTTTTAATTGTTAAAAGCATATAATGTTAGTGGCACTAATTGGACAGATAAAATAGAACTTATATTTTTCTATATTACTGTACATACTTTTTGATGCGAAATTCTGGACGGATGGATCGATGAATATTTTCACTACGTAACTCCAAGAGTCCTTGTTCTCGGTTTATGTTTAAAATGAGAATAGTAGTTATTTATTGTATAATATTGTATTGCAGACAGCGGAGGACGGTACGGCGGTGGCGGTGAGGTGTACGGCGAAGGCTATGCAGCGGAGTACGGCGGCGCGTGCGAGTGGGCCGAGTGGCCTGCTGAGCAGCACGCGCTGCTGCCGCAAGACAAGCTGCCCTACCCCGCCACTGGGCCCTGCTTCACCGGTAGGTTGACACACTACGCCAACCTTTAACTCATCTAGTACTAACATTAGTTGGTCACCCTACGCTCTACGATAGAGCTAGTACTAAGATTCAGTGGTCCAACTATACTAGTTTTCAGAAATCGTAAATAGTCACGTAGATAACAAATAATCACAAAAATGAATTACTACTTATTCTATTTATTAGCTGTAAGATTATGTATTAATCTGTGAATATATTTTGTAGATTTTGTCACTTTGCTATATATTAGAAATGTTGAAAGTATATAACGTGTTGTTATATAAAATGAGTGGTACATAGTAAAGCGAGCGTGGGTTACTGTGCAGGTTCAGGACCTATACAACTGTGGCAGTTTTTGCTGGAGCTGCTAACAGACAAGAGCTGCCAGGGCTTCATCTCTTGGACCGGCGACGGCTGGGAGTTTAAGCTCACGGACCCCGATGAGGTCAGTATTACATTCTTCTAGTACCAATTTAATCCAGAATATTTTCCTAAAACTTTACTAACTAACCGATTTCTTTTCTAACAGGAAACACCTGTACATTTTCTAATATTTTAAACATAATTAATATTTTTCCTCCTCCTCCAACACATCTCTTACCTTCGATCCTGCTTATCATTATCACCTGTGATGACGGAGCACGTGGCCAGTACTAATGTGGTGGAATGTACCAGGTGGCGAGGCGCTGGGGCATCCGCAAGAACAAGCCCAAGATGAACTACGAGAAGTTATCTCGCGGCCTGCGCTACTACTACGACAAGAACATCATACACAAGACAGCCGGCAAGCGTTACGTCTACCGCTTCGTCTGCGATCTACAGAGCCTGCTAGGGTAAGTATTACATCGTATTGGAAACTACCTGTCGCCCGCGACTCCGTCCGCGCGGAATAAAAAAAGTTTATGAGTCGCCTTTGTGTTCTGCAGAACAGTAGTATTATTAGAACATGATCTATGTCAATTTTTTTTTAGATCTATTCAGTCGTTCAGGAGATATCTTCAAACACAAATCCATCCACCCATCCATCTAAAATCGCATTTATAATATTAGTAAGATTAATTTAACCAAAATACATAGGTTTTGCTACTGCTACTGCTAGTGAAGAATACACTTTAACTGGTCAAGTCTTTTAAGCTACAGGAAGAATTAGGGTGACATGGATGTCAATATCTCAGGAAAACATTGCCAGTATGGAAACATATTAGTGGTTACCCTGGTCACATCTTCTGTTTTTAAAATAACCTTAATGCAAAGCATAACGCTGATGTGACCGTATATTTATTGAATTATAGCTTGCACGTACTCTATGTTTCATATATACTTATGTTCAAAATGTTAACAAACTGTAGAGGACAAATTTAAGATTTTTTTTAAAATTCGGATAAACAAAATACTTAATCCCAGTTTTATTAATTCTTGATTAAACCCCGCCTGACGCTACCTGCTTAGTGTTTGGGTGATATTTTGGATTCAGAATTTAATTACGCAAAATTACGATAAACCTAAACGACAAATGGATAAAGCCGCAATCATTTGGACTTCATTTTTTCTTAATTTTCAAAGAATAATTATACTGCCACCTTATGTACAATTTGAAATTTTATGTGTTTCACATTTTAGTTTTATCATTGGTTTATTAAGATCGTTAATACAGACGTTTTTATTTTCGTAATTCCCAAAAACCTCACCTTTTTGATGTTTTATATTTTTTGAACACAGAATAACGTAAAGGTTACATTGACCTCCATATTCATTTTCAAATATTATTAACTACAACCTTAATTTTTTTAATGTTTTAAAAGAACGTTCTAGTATTTTTTTTATCAAATAGCGATAATCGATGTTACACTTATAAAATTATTAGCTGTCGCCCGCACGGAATTAAAATAAAAACTTAGTGAGTAGCCTAGGTTCTTCCAGAATATGCTCTACATCTGTGCCAAATTTCATCAAGATCCGTTTAGCCGTTCCGGAGGTACCTTCAAACAAACATCCATCCATCTAAACATTCGCATTTATAATATTAGTAAGATAATAGACTCAAAGTCGATGCACTCCTCTAGTTAGCTTTCATATTCAAATTGCCTTTTATCCTTTATTGCAGAATATCTCCTGAACAATTGCACGCGATGTACGAACCCAAGATGGAGAAGAAGGACGACGATTGAAGCGACTATCATCAGAGTTGAAGCCAAGCGCAAGTCACAAGCAAACCCACAAATGAGACCCCATTTTACTTCAAACCATCGATTTTTATTTCAATCACTTATTTATCTTTGAATTTTATACTCATATATTATTATGGCTGTAATTAGAAAAGGCAATGCCTTTTAATATTATAAGAGATCTAAATGAAAATGACACATTTGTACAGACTTGTTTATGTATGCAGTCGTCTCTTTCATTCACTTTGAAAAAACAGAGATAACAATATGTATTCCAGCTAAGAAAACCATAAAATTTAAAAACAAAATAGATTATGTTTTAAAAGTGTCTCCTGTGATGTTTTTTCCTATGTTTTAGGATATATCAAGTACTGGAAATTTTTAAATCGATTTCATACTATAAAATTAAACAAAGATTTATTACATTTATAGTTGGTGCTGTATTTATGACACGTAATCACACGGTTCTACACTTTGTTTCTCAATATATTGTTTAAACCTCTTTTGATTACATCTACGGTTTGTATAAATGTGTCGTAAAACAAAGAATAAAATTTCACGATAGTTTGACGTCTTCTTACACGGAGACATTTAACGAAACGAATGTTACTAAAATAATTTTATTTTCCTGCGTCTCTAAATTTTATAATCAACTAAAGTAGGTGTCATGTAAAACTTCGGATTTGATCTCATTTCATCCACCAGTGGAATTTATACTTATAAAAAAAATAACATATGACCGCGTTGATGGTTCTATTATAAATACAATTAACATATTAAACCTTATATATTAAGTATCCATTCACGACCAACGGTGCCTTACTATTACACAACTTATTGTTGTTTTTTTTTGTTTCGTATTATTAAAAAAAAATAACTGTCACGATCAGTTTCTTTATTTAAGCCCTTTTATGTTGGATATATTTACATTCATAATTAAACATAAAATCACGAATACGTTCATTAAAGTATTAAAAAGAAAAAGAGTATTAATTCATTTTTTTTTAAATAAAGTTATCTGTCAATTTTTTTTTAATTTCTGTCAAATTAGTGCTGTTACGTTCTGACAAAGTTAATCAATATGATGTTACGGTTTCAATTTTTAAATCAAGAATCTATTCAATTATAAAGTACTGAAATGAATCATATATAGATTAAATAGTAAAATTCTGGTATCGATTTAAAAATACTGTAAATATAAGTTAATTTGTTACTTTATAAAGATAATTAGGTATTATATTATAATAGTTATTAAGTGTTGTATGTTTGATTCGCAATTGTTGCAATATGCGGTTAAAATAATACATAGTTAGATTGTTGGACATTAAAATTATTTTCTTTTTTTCTAAACAGGAAGGTCCAAAGATTTCGGAAATCAAAAATACCCACCAAACGGTGAACCTAATGTGAAATTACCAAAGGGACTTTCGCTGTTAGGCAAATTGCAAAGAACGATCTAATCAATTTTTACAATAGAATACCGAAAACTTTCGAGCGCCAAATGTCTGATATAATATAGCAACATGCTGCAACATCGGGTGACATCAACTTGTCGCTGATCTCGTAATAAGGGATTGTAATGTCTAACTAGTTATGAAATTAATTAGATGTATTATTTTCAATTTTTATAGCTCCTAGCATACACCGAAGATATTTCGATAAGTTTTATTTGTAAAGTATTACTCCTCCATCAATATTATACAGTATCGCCATCACGCCCGGTGGATTTCGATGCGTTGGTGCTGTTAATTACATATTATCATAATAAATTCGAATGTCTTCCCCGTTTGTTTTGATAAATTAATACTTCTTTAGATGAATAAGTTAAATTTCATATAGCATGTGAATTCAACACATTATATTAATCGTTAATGAGCCATATTATAAACAAGAAACGTTACGTTTTACATCTAATTGCAGCCAAATTTTAATGTAATAAGTGTCGTTGTATGTATTGATGGAAGATATAAAATTAAATATATATATTTACGAAATCATATAGAGTTTTTTTAATTGATTACCCAGCATCGCATGTAGACCTGCACCTAGCACCTTCTGACAGAGATTCAAAGTTTTTCCTCTTTAATGTTCTACGCTTTACCACATTTCTGAAATATGTCCACGATGTTAAATGAACACCACCCATATACCCATTCCCAGCTTTGCAAGATTATAGTAAGTGTGAGGGACCTCTGGTGTAGACTGTTTCAAATATCTTGACAGTTTAAGTAACCGCGCTGTGCCATTCCCCCGCTTCCTCTATTCCGCTGACCTATATAAATGGACAGGTCATTGCCTGGAAGTGACAGCTTTTACTAAGTTCCGACTTAAACGCTCCGTTGATGTTACTAGAAGTTATTTCTTACTCTTTTAATTCACCCGCTAAAAACCGCTATGATAAACGCCAAAATGGTGAAATTAAAATAGGCACAAAATACAACGTCTAATAACTTCTCCATTTATAGAGGTCAGTGCTCCGTCGTACCTAAAATTATTTTTATTAGAACAAACAGATTAGAATAGAACAAACTAATGAAGTTAAATTGTGGCGAAATATCAGGAGAAATAGCTCTAAATCCATCATTTTTTATCATATCGCATTTAATTCACAGGTACCTAGTATGTGGGTTATATTCTGTAAACGTTTAAATCCATCATTTTTTATCATATCGCATTTAATTCACAGGTACCTAGTATGTGGGTTATATTCTGTAAACGTTAACTAAAGCAGATGTCAAATCCAAATAAGTTATGACCTAAAGGTCTATGTAACCAGGTCATAAAATTAAAAAAGAAACAGTTATCAAATGTCAGTCGATCAATGTAAACTCAAACCTGTTTGTCAATTTGACATTGTCAAATGAAATCCTAACCTCATTGCTAACGAAACAAAATTTTTTAAATCACCGAAGATCAAAAATGAAACTATCACGAGTATTAAATCGACAACACATAGATTTTATGTTTAAAAAACATTGGTTAGTGCAAGGAAAGCGTGTTCCAATTGACACTGGTGCGGAGAATGTTCTTAGGGAAAAGGGTATTCCCGTTGAAGATGCACTTGAATTTATCAAAGAAAAACCAGGACCACGAGAGAGGTATGCCGTGTTTATTTATAAAAATATAGAAGTAGAAAAACGAAACGAAAATTTATCACAAAACATATGATCTTAATTCATACATTGCTTTTATATTTTAGAGTAAATATTGTTGGACCATATGAACCTCAACTACCATTAGACGAGACACACCCAGATTACAAGACAAGACCCTGCCTTACACTCACCAACAAAGATGTCTTACTCGAAGGCATTGCTCAAGCTCAAGTATTAACAAAAACTATAATAGCAAAGAACAAACTACCAAATAAAATTGAAGAATTGGCTGAAATAACTATACCTAAAGCTGTTCATGAAGGAGTCAAAAAAGCAATTTTATCATCCAATGTGTTTGATTGTGAACAAGAAAAGCTACCCAAGATTAAAGACCCTGTCAGACCAGCTTATAACTTCCCTAGAATCTTGGGGATTACAGATCGGAGACGCAAGTAAGTAGTTTTTCATAAAAGTAATTATTGAAGACACCCAAGATTATGAGTACATGTTTCATGCCACTAATTTTTTGCAGAAAAGAGATTTCTGTAAAAATGGATGCACTGAAAATGTTTAACAAGAACTATTGGTGTAATAATTGTTATTTTTTTCTTGTAGCCAAATAATTACCAACAAACTGTTGCAACTCATTGAAAGATGTAGTGATTTTGAACTCACTCAGACAAGATATACATTGAATGATGTGCAATGTAAAACTGTATTTGATAAAGATGATGACTTGATACAATTTCAAGATGTATCCAACATATTGGTAACAAGTAATATTCCATTGAAACATGATATGAATGAGAAGGACATCCCATTTGTTGAAATACCAGACCTGTATCCTGTAAAGCACACTGTCACATTGCCTCCAGAACATTTTTATGATGAAAAAAGCATATTTCGTAAGTTTAAAGTTCATAATTAAATATTACATTTCAATTCTTAGTTTATACCAAGGAGGACATCTCCTTGACATTTACTTTCGGCACCAAAACAATGAAAATTGTTTTGTAAAATTAATATATAATTTGTTTAATAATTATCATTAAATAATGTTATTCATCAACATATTCCAGAAAATAAACACCCAATATTATGTATATACCTGGACCGCTTTGCTCGTTTTTATTTTTTAATTGTGTTTTTTGGAAATTATGTTTAAGTATGAATTACTAATAAAATGATGAAATATGAATAATATGATCTTACCGATAGAAAAAGTTAAGTTTATGTTTAAGTTGATTATCGATAAAACACAAATAAAATGACATTTTCTAAAAATGATTCCTAGCTAGATCGATTTATCGTCCCCAAAACCCCCTATATACAAAATTTTATGAAAATCGTTGAAGCCGATTCCGAGATTCCAATTATATATATATATACAAGAATTGTTCATTTAAAGATATAAGATTCAGCACCTATGATTATCATAATTTTCTAAATATATAGTCATAATTAATTGACTAAATATAATTATCTTGTTGCAGCTATTCAATTAAATGTAAGTAGGAAACATCCGCACACCACATGGCTGCATTTCAACAGAACTGAAGTGAACAATATTTATGAAACACCAGTGACAGACTCACAGATATATGGCAGAGCACTCACACATGCATTCACCGTGGCTTCAGCATATGCAAAAGAGTTGCATGGGGTAAGTATTTTCTTTTATATCCCTGCAGCTATTTTATATCAATGAATCTTAAAGAAGATATGTAGATATATATTTAATGGTTTTCACAGTTTTACAACCAAAGGATTACATACCATAAAAGGATTTACTTTATATACAAATTTGTTTTGCTTCCAGTTTGTTTTTTGTGCCACTAATATAGAATTTATACTGTACTCTCGAATTTAAAGGTATATCTAAATCCGGTAATTAACTCTACACAATTAAGACTAAAGTTAATGAGGATCGATCTTCCTTTTCATGTGCAATTTCTTCTCCCCATTTATTGACAAAGCAATTTCTTCAAAATAAACTAAAAGAAAATTCTTATCTCTTTCGACACAACTAGATCTTAAACAACTTTAAGACATTGGATAATAAGAATAAAATACGAAATGTAACAATAATCTATACTTTTTCTATAATTAATTGAATCGAGAAAGAAATCTTTGGGATACAAAATAATTAGTTGTAGTTCCAAAGTTATATTACTAAATAAAAACAGATATAAATTTTTCACAGGAAGAAGTTCAAGACTTGCCGGAACCGATATACGTGAACTGCATACAAACAGACGGACAGAAATATCATTTTGGTGTTTTTGAACTGAACACATTAAATGTTGACGGTGTTGAAGGTACAAAGAATGTGTGGTATTGCAAAAATGATGTGAAACTTTACGATAGGAGTTGTTATTTCAATGGAATGCCAGTCTTAGAAAACTACAACCCTAAGATATATGGATATATTAATGCTTTTTACAACTGCTGAAATGTAGTCCAAAATGTAGTATATTTAAACTAAGATATAATTAGTTGAATTCGAAGAAGTGTGTAAAAAAATAAATTGTTATTTAAATGTATTCATGTGTATAACCCTTTATATTTACAAGAACATAAATACATTTTGTTTTCGATTAGAATACACAATGTTTGCATACCAAAACACTTTTTACATTACAATTACTATCAAGTTGATAACTTGAACTGAAATTTTTTTCCGTGCATCATAATTATTATTTGGCCGTCGTGAATCTCTGCAATCGGCGTCTTCTCAGCTCCTCCGCGTCGGCGTCGGTCTCAGTCTTCGGCTCTCTAGGTAATAAGATAGAGTGGTAAGTAAAATGAGAAAAAAAAACAATATTTCTACTTCTGTAAGACCAGTACACAGTTCGTTATTTCATTATAAAAATAAATAAATCATATAAGCTTACCTATCAACATGTAAACTAGTGTTGTCGGAACTGGAGACGTCAGTGTGTTGCGTGTGGGCGGGGCTAGCAGTGGGCGGGGCCGCGCTGGTGGAGGGCGTGGCACTCGACGTACCGGCCGCTATCTCGGGCTCCGTTTTCACCTGCACGGGCGCCGGTCCGGGAGTTGGTTCATTTACACTGTAAAGAATATTTATATGTACTTATATATCTCAATAAATGATGTTGCTGTAGTAATCGTTTTAAAAAAAGGCGCTTACATAGTGTCAGTTTGTGTAGCGACGTTGGCGCTGTTCTGCGGCAGGTTGGCGACGACGGCGGAGTACTGCTGCATCAGCAGCACTGACGCGTCCAACATCGCTTGGATCTCACGCAGCAGCTGTTCACAATACAATATTTTTGTTACATTACAATTTTAAAACACCTCCACACATTAAGTGTAAGACAAATTATTTTTTTCCATGGTTAAGAACATCTAAGCCTCATTACTAATTCATTGTAATTTGAATGTTTGTCACGATATGATGTGACGCCTCTTCAAGGGTTCGTAATCTCTAGCACATAACTGGATCTAGTTTGGTTGGTCCACTAACCTGTAGTCGTGCCTCGATGTTCCTGCGCTCGTGTCCCTCCATGCGCTGCAGCTCGGCGGCGCTGAGCGTTGCGAGCGAGGCGGGGCGCGGGGGCGGCGGCGGCAGACCCCATCCCATCATCGCTGCAACAATCACTCACCTCACTCATCGTGTCATTTACATAAAAGGTGACAGTCCATATAATATCGTCGTAAACTCATACCGAGTTGTTCCAACCTTCCCTAAGTTAGTGATTAGATTAGTCCCTAGTCCACAACGCTTACCCTACCCTCCTGATCGAACTCTCTATTATAAACAAGGATTGTAATATAAATACACTAACCGTACGTTTCCCCTCCTAAAACACCAGGGTAAAAGATATTTTCATCCCTCTAATTCACTTTGTTAACACGCAAACGTACCATTCAAAGGTCTGGATGGCATGGCATCTTCAGAATCTCGTGCATTCGCCTCACAAATCTGAACATGTCTATTCATGCGATATAAAATACCTTGCATTCCTTTATTACACTTTTTACAAACCGCCCAAAGTCCACTATTTTTATTACGACTACAATGAAATTTCTTCCAAATCGGATTTTTATTTCTAGGCATTATAAACACAACACTAAAGTAACAAGTGAAATAGTTTGCATTCACCTGCTGTGAATATTAATTAATCATAAGCATTGAGTCATACATTATCATATTGATAATTATCAAGAGATAATATATCTCGTTATATATACCAACCCGCACTGGGCCAGCGTGGTTGACTATGGCCTAATCATCCTTAACTTAGGGTAGGCTCCGAGCCCCTCGGTGGGGACTTATAGTGAACTGATGATGAATATATCTCGTTTTAATTATCAAGATCTATTTCATACTGGAGATAGCTCGCGACTCCGTCAGCGCGAAATTAAAAAAAAACATAATAAGTAGCCTATGTGACTTTCCAGGTTCTGTTCTACATGTGTACCAAATTTCATCAAGATCTGTTGAGGTGTTTCGGCGATACCTCCTAACAAACATTCATCCATCAAACCAAAAGGTAAGTTAGTTTACGACTGACAACTATCAATTCATTATAACATCGTATTGAAGTTATTAATACGTATACATAAGGAAAAAAGCATATAATAGACTTACTTTCGTAGTAAATAGGCCCTTATGTGTTCAATTGATAATAACTTTATATAATACCAAATATATATGACTTATTTATTTTTAAAATGAACTGTTTATAACACGTTTTTAATGAGCAACATACACACTGCGACGCAAGGTTAACGCAATTGTTTCTTATCGTGAATGTTTATTTTATAGCAACCCGTTTTTATTTTGATATAACTTTGATAACATAATACTTCACAACATGTATATATATGTAATATGTGGATTATTTTTATTTATTCATTTGAAATTTCAATAATAAACAGACAGACAATTCTTTTTTTTATCATCTATATCATGATAAATATAAAGGATAAATAGATTTTTAAGAATAACATGTCAAATATAAACAGCAGTACTTACGTGGCGGTGGCATATTCGGGAAAGGCGGTGGCACGACGTTCGGTGCAGGGGGAGGAGCGGCTGCATTGCCAACTGGAGCATTGCCGAGTGGTGCATTACCAAGCGGAGCGTTGCCGAGGGGCACATTGCCGAGTGGAACATTGACAAGCGGGACATTGCCAGGTTGAACGCCGTCGGGCGCGTGCGGGGTGTCAGGTGCGGGCGCTCGCAACACGTTCAGCCTGCACGTTGGGCAGGTCTGTTGCCGCTGGAACCACAGTCGGAGGCACGCCGCGTGGAATATGTGATTGCAAGGCAGCTTCTTCGCTCCTGTTAAAATTAATTCTTAAGTCTATAATAAAATATTACAAATAAACAAGTTAGATGGTAATTTTGATGATAATATTTCACTATATAGGTTATCTTTTGTGATAATAAACAAGTTACTCAATAGAAAGTTCTCCTGTTTAGTTATTTAAGTATTTTAGGCCAAACATTGATTATGGTACTATTCAGCTACTTTTATACTTATATATTTAAATATAATCTGTGTGTACCGCTGTGCATCTCCTCGCGACATATGATGCACTCGTTGTCCGCGGCGGCGAGCTCCGCGGCCGTGGCGTCTGGGTACAGCGTGTTCATATTGCGGATAGCCCGACGAGACAGAACCACGTCATTGTACGCTTTCTTGAAACTCCTACAAATTCACATAAATCGTTTACACCAAACAACATCCTGTATTCTTATTTATGGTAATTAAAAAAATATATACTTATATCTTACCTCATTGTTTCATACATTGGTCGGAAGGCAAAGAGAGGCAATGTATATATCCGAACCATGACGGCAACGAAACCAATATAAAGTAGTACTTTCAGGAAGTTTATAATCAACTCGGTGTAGAGTAGAACTGCAGCTTTGCTCTCCCAAGGTGCCTCCCATCGAGAGTCAATAGTGTGCAGTGTGTACTGTTGACAGAGAATGGCTAATTAATACATTCTTACATCTAAAAAGTATTAATCAACTCAAAATTGTTTACAACTATGGATAGCTTCTGCAATAACTCATGTTACCAAACACTATGCTACAATATAAACTCATCTCCGAGTTAATCTATTAAGAGATGTAACACTTCAGAATTTCTAATCCAACATAAAGGTTAACATCATACTTAATTCTTCAAGAAACTATTATTTAACAAATTCCATATCACATTTGCTATATACAAACCTTTATGACAATATTGATGATCATAATCAGTAAAATACTGTATTCAAATCCAAACACAAGTTGTACCGATGGCCCTTTAGATGTCGTAAATTGATAGGCATGATGGATAAAGAAGAAGTCTGCATGTGTTAACAACGTCAGCAGAGTTAGAATCCGCAAATGGAACAACAAGCCAATTACTGGGCTCCTTTCCATCTAAACAGAAAAAAAAACTTTATTTCAGGACAATTAAATAGTGCAAGTATGTAGCCTAAAAAACATTAAAATAAATTGTAATTGAATAGTCATGTAGTATCTACATTTTGATTCCTCTTGTAGCAAACATGTTAGAAGACTAATAGTATTATTTTGGTACTGCATGAAGTATGCACACATGCACACCATGAAGCGTATTTCTACAAAGTTTTATTATTAATATTATAAATGTGAAATTTTAATTGGATGGATGAATATTTGTTTAAAGGTATCTTCAAAACGGCTAAACATATCTTAATGGAATTTGGCACAGACGTAGAACTTAATCTGGAAGAATACATAGGCTACTTATTAAGTTTTTTTTGTTTCAGGTGAATGGAGTTGTGAGCTACAGCTAGTAAAATATACTTACATAATCCACTCTATCTTCAGCTAACCAATGGAATGCTTTCAGAAACAGCAACACGGTGAATAAAGCAATAAATTTGGGATTAAAATCATCCCTGAATACTGTGAAAGCTAGACATGTCTCAGTTATCGCATACCAAGATCTTTCTATTAAATGCTGCGAATGGAATAAAAAAATCTATTAATATTTCTAATAAAGTTCTTACATTTTTGATAAAATTCTGAATTCAAGTTCTATATAAAGAATTTTAAGTAAAAGTTAAACAAAATTAAATCACACTTTTATATGTGAATAACAATTTGTTAAATAAAAAATAAAATTTAATAAAATAATGGTGGGTGAACACAATTATCTATCTAGTCATCTAGAAGTTCTGTAAATTTTACTGATATTGGGTAATTTTATTAATAAGCAAATATTTAAATGGGCGAAAAATACCTCAAATTCCGCTGGGCGCAGTTGTCCAAAAAATATTCTTCTGAAGACTTTACCAAGTAATAAAACAAGGATAAAAGCTTGTAAATACATAACCTGCAAATATTATACAAATACTCTTTAGAATTTTAACAATCAATATATTTTTGGTGGTAATTCATCATATTAATCCCAAGAGTTGGGAATATTGCGAAATGCATTGTACTACAGTGACCATATGCAATAGATGTCAGAGTTCCAATAAAAGTAATGACAACTTACAGCCATGCTAGGATTTGAATTTGTTAGGTAGACTATTGATGGATAAAATTGCTTCTTTTGGTAATAGGCATTGCCGATCACCACAGTCGTGAGTGCAAGGCTGATTACAGTTGCAACTAAAGCCTTCATTTTGATAATAACTTATTACGTCCGATACATTAAAACACTCAAAATTTTCATAGGATCTATCTTAGGTTTTCTAAGCACTCCAAAACAATATAATTGTCAACAAATACATTTTCAAAACATCTTTTAGTTTCAGTCGCTGAATCAAAAAACTAATTTTGACGTGTTCAATGTTCATTAGTGTCATTCATGTAGATAACAAATACGAAATGGTATAATCTCAATCACAACAAATGACAATACGGCAGTGCAGGTGACACTAAAGTGATAAAAGAAAGGAGCATGGTTAATGAAAAAAATATGTAGTTAATAGATAAATAGGGGAAACTGTGTAGATATCCTAGAATGGAAATAAGAAAAAAGGAATTTATAACATGATGAGTCATAGTAATATTTGACGCAATTTCCTATTTTGTTTTCTCTAAACAAGAGAACGAAGAGTTGACATGATTGTACTGGATCTCTAGAATAAACCCACTGTATAAAAGAAACCTAAACAAAGAAATAATTAAAAATTGGGAGCATTTTCAAGAAAATAGGTTTAATTATTTTAAACAACTATTAATGTTGCCAAAAATTTAAATTGCTTCAATAAAGTGGTAACTCAACAAACAAAATGTCACTATTTCGAAGATGGTGTTGGTGTGTACGTGATTGGTTTTGTTCTGTACTTTTTACATTTATGACTATCCTACATATTAAAGAATAAGATGAAATTCCGTTTATATGACTTTTGTGATAACGTGTTCTGTGGATTCACCTAAATATATACTTACCAGGTTGTTAATCAAATCATATTGGGTTTGCCGCGCAGTCAAAACAACTAACAATCCATTTAGTTTATTTGGATAAATTCCAATAGATTTTCTACATTCTGATTTATTTTAACCGTAACACAACAAATATAATGAAAATGCTTTCAATAATTAAATAAAACAATGTAACTTGCGACTGTGACGTGCTTATGCTATTGTTCATGAATTTTCGATTCTGTGCACTAAAATAAGTGTACAATCAACATTTTTGTATTTTTTTGTGTTTTCAGGAAGTATATATAAATAGCTTCACTTCTGGACAAAGATCACCACGCCCAATATGGTAAATAATGGCTACTTATTATGAGCTTTTTTATTGTATATTTGATTGTGGTTGTTGTCATATTTATTCATTTAATTGATTGTTCTTTGTTTTTCCAGCAGGGTGATGATCCTCCTTACTTAACGGTCGGTACTGATGTTAGCGCCAAGTATAAGGGTGCCTTTTGTGAAGCTAAAATCAAGAAGGTTGTGCGTAACATAAAATGCAAGGTAGATAAAATCATTATTATGAATTAAAACTATCTTAGAATTTGTTTAAATGGAATAATACTATGTCTGTGTGTTCCACTCTAGTTATGATTAACAATGATAATCCATGGAGATCAGAAAATACACATAAAAACAACATCAGATATGACTTTAAAAATGTATCTAGTATTAAAGAAATATTTCATAATAACCTATAACATTAAGATATTAAAGTAATGTAACATTTATCATCTCTGCCTAAATAAAAAACTGTATTAATTCTCTTCCTTGCTATTCTAAATTGAGTTATTTAAGTAATAATTAAAGGTGTATCTTGTTTTGTTTTATTTTTAACGGGTACCTAAATGTACTTTCAGTCATCAATTATCAAATGTTTCATTTACAGGTGACCTTAAAAGGTGGTGGTGCGATCACAGTGAATGATGATGTGATCAAAGGAACACTGCGTATTGGCAGCACCGTCGAAGTAAAGCAAGACCCTAAAAAGGATGCAACAGAGGCAGTGATCACAAAAATACAAGATTGCAGTCAGTATACTGTGGGTATGTATCAATATTTTAACATTTTCAGTGCAACCAACTCATTTGGCAACTTTAATTTTATGAAAATATCGTAGTAGCATGGAATGTATTAACTTTGGAACATTGACTATAAAATATCTTCTCAAAGTTGTAGTATATTATTTTAAAAGAACTTATTCAATGATTTGGTATATTATACTATTTTAAATAACATGCAATACCACAATAATGAATTCAATAAAATACAATTTGATTCTTCTGATGAATAAAGCTTTATCTTATATTGATATCCTGCTTAAGATGTAACTCTTTGTATCAGAGTGGTCATATTGTCTAAATCTAATTCAAAAGGACAGGCACCTTTCTTATCATACTTTGTCTTGTCTATCTTCCTCATTGTTATTTAGTAGCCAATAAGATTATGTTATTGGTTTCAGTGGTTTTGTGGAACATATTTAAAATAATTAACTTAACATGTTAGCTGCCAGAATGATTTTTCGAAAAACTTTTTTTTTTAAAATTTTGTCCAAAACCATTTGAAAACACCTAAAAATATAGTAATACATTATTTACATTGCTCATATACTTATTATTTATATATGAATGGAAGTATGGCTTGTCGGACACATAGTCCAACATGGCAGATAATGTGTTAACAGTTTTATTAAAGACTATATTATTGTTTTAGTATTTGATGATGGTGATATAACAACATTACGTCGGTCAGCGCTGTGCCTCAAAAGTGGACGTCATTTTAATGAAAGTGAGACATTGGACCAACTGCCACTGACACATCCGGAGCATTTTTCTACACCTGTGATAGCTGGCCGGCGAGGGAGAAGAGGGAGGGCTCAGTATGTTATGCATACAATTATATTGTGTATTACATTCCCAATTAAAAATCCTACATATGTTATGAAAAAATCATCATGTTCTTTACATGACCGATATGATTGTCCTCCAGCATATAATTTTTCACCTTCTTGCTATAGCTTGCCAATTCTCATAAACTTTCGTTGACTTATTCTTCATAGTCCACTAAAAAGCAAAATTAAGTATCAGTAGAGACTATCGGATAGTAAGATGGTCATATAAAATTATTCTGTAATAAGAGAATGTGTTGTCCTTATCAGGTCAGAGGAGAGTGAAGGTGAAGGTGTGACACGTCGTGTGAAGGCTGACAGCGAGCCGCATGTGGGGCGCGTGGTGTTCGTGGATTTCACAAGCGGGGCGGAGCGCCGGCGCCCGCACCAGCCCGCCTTTCCTGCCCTTGTCGTCGCCCCCACCGCACAGATCAAAGTCAAAGAGGATTATCTTGTACGCTCCTTTAAAGATGGACGATAGTAAGTATTGAAAGTATTAGTTCTGTTTTGTTTTTTTGATTCTAGATGGATAGATGGATGTTTGTTTGAAGGTATTTTGTAGTAAGGAAGGTTGTTTGTAAGAATGGCTGAATGGATCTTGATAAAATTTGGCATACATATAGAATACAGTCTAAAAAAACACATAGGCTTCTACTCATTTTTTTTTTAATTTCACGCGAACGGAGTCGCGTGCGACCGCTTATTATTTATATTGATTTATTAGTATTAAGCTTGATTTATCTACACGAAAATTTAAATATAATACATATGGGTCATATTTACTTTGGCATGGGAAAGTCGCAGCTCACAGCAGCACCTTTTCGTATCCGACGTTAAATTTTGTGCATATAGATAGTTTTTATGTATTTGGTTATGAAAAGAAAAACTCGTTTCCAGCTACACAGTGCCCAAGAAGGAGACGCGTGAGTTCAAGCGGGGCAGTGCTCCGGCGGAGTGGGGCGGAGTGCAGGCGGCGCTGCAGTACCTGGACCACGGCGTGCTGCCGCCGCACTGGGACAGGGACACGCTCTTCAACGAGCCACGCAACACGTCCGATGATGTATGCAAACACCTTCATATTAAACCTTCTTTTAGATGATTTTAATGTATTTGGTTTTTTTTTTAATGTGAATGCTATTTTTTTTTTATAAATGCGAAAGTTTTTTATAATTGTTCATATGTTTTGTAACACTTAACACCAAAAAGGTTAAAATTTTATCCAGATGTAGGATAAAATTTGAAACAGATATAGATACTTGGATAACGTAATAGGCCTCATTTTATCTGATATATTCATGAAAAATGTGTGGTTTAACCAGACAATATCATAACAGCTAGTAGCTAATAAATTGCAGATGTGTTGCCAAACTTCAACAGAGAGGGGATAAACAGTAAACAGGAATTCCCTTTTCTGTGCATAAGGAACAGAGGATTTGAATTAGGATTCTGTTTTAATTTAGAAATATTTTTATTAACTGTTTTCATCATTTACGTGTTAAATATCTCATGATACCATGTTTAAAATTTTTAATTCAAAAAATATTAGGCATCTCAACTATTACTCTGTTATTTTTATTATTACTTTCAATTATTATTTTTATTATTCTATCAAAATAATTTATCTAATAAATGTAACAAATATTATATTCCACACACGCTGGCCTAGGAAAACAAACCGTTAAAGGTCAGTAAAGACAAAAAATACTTATTATTAAATAAAAAACTATAGCAAAAAAATAACAGTTTTAAGTTAAAAAGCAAGTTATTTCATTGATATAGTTGAATTGCCTACACTAAACCTTTTCCTTATAAAAGTTTTTAATAATTCCAAATGGCGTAAAATATGTATTTCATAATATATGCATGAATCATTTCAGCAGAGATGGTAGTAACATAAAAAAAAGATGGATTTTTTTATGACCTACCCTCACCACGCGCTGGACGCGCACTCATAACGCGCCAGCCGTGGAGTTATAAACCATAGCTCCCACTACTAGAAATATTTATAAATATCTAAATTTCATATTTACATAACATGCCGTGTTTATTAGCATAAGATGCTTGCGCTATGCTTTGCAACCTTCGGTATCCACTGTTCAATGTGTCGCCAGTGGAAACCCACGGTTACAAAGTATGTATAACTGTAGATTTACACTGTGGTGACATTTGCATTAATAAATAACCATCCCTTTGATTTTCTTGTACAAAACGAAGACTACAATCCGCCAACAATCTGACCTGCTGGACACAAGTGATAAGTACAATAGCTTTGATTTGACATTCAATAGGGTGGAGCTAGGGTCCTGTTATAATTTAGTTTGATTTTGCCCAGCGGGTCAGCAGGGTTAGACTTTGTCTAACCCCTCAGATCCTTGTCGATATAGCTCTCTTGTCACGTTTCGCCTGTCACCGGCTTTGTATTTAGACAAGTGTAACGGCAGTGGAATTCTAAGGTTAATATTGTTGTATGTTTGTTAGAGTTCCGATGACGAGCCGAGAGAAGAAAAGGACCACTTTGTGGCTCAGTTGTACAAGTTCATGGACGACCGTGGTACACCGCTCAATAGAAATCCAACCATCGCTAATCGGGATATCGATTTATATAGACTGTTCCGGGTAAGTTGTATTTTTCTACTTTTATTATATACTTAGTAATATAATTATGCTTGAGATTATGTAAATAAGAAAACAATAATAACAGGTTGTACAAAAACTGGGTGGCTATAATCGCGTGACCAATCAAAATCAATGGAAGACGATTGCAGACAAGATGGGCTTCCATCCAGTCACAACGAGCATCACTAATCTTTGTAAGCAAGCATATAAGAAGTAAGTGGAACTGAGTTCATATGTTTGGTATATTTTTTTTTGCAAAACATGCACGTATTAAAACCCCTTACATTCTCTTTAAACAAATAGTGTAGTGTAGTACAACAATGTGTTTCAATATAAGAGCTATGGCAGTCGAATTTTACGATAAAAAAATTATGCATTTTATCAACTTTGATCCTTAACAGAGTTTAAACAACAATAATAACCTTTTACTCCCCACATTAGGTTTCTGCACAGCTTCGAAGATTTCTACCGCAAATTGGGGGTAACGTTGGTGGCGCACCCTCGCGGCGCGCGCACTCCTCCCGCCGGCCGCTCTCTCATACGCGACCGCGACAAGCAGCTGCTGGCCTCCTCACCCGCCGGCACCACCCCGACCACACCAACACCCACACCGGTAACAAACAAACATATACACCCAATTAGTTATACTTTGACGTGCCAATCGCCCACTTGAAGAACCAAAGCATACTGACTATACGATAATTCTTCATTTCCTTCGCGGAATTAAGTCGGAGCGCTTTTAAATTGTTATAAACCGGGTACTTTGAAGGAATTTACTTTCCAAATTACTAGACGAGCCCCGCAAAAGTTTCATGTTTTTAACGCTATTTGTAATTAATACAATAATTTTCAAGAATTTATTTGATTTGAATTTATTTGCATAATATTAAATATGTACTTTAATACAAACATTTATTCGTTTTACAATAGCGCGGAAAAGATAAAGATTCGGACAAGAGCGAGACGGAAAAGAGTGATAAGAGCGAGAAAGATGAGAAGATTGAGAAAATAGAGAAGACAAGAGAGAAGATACCGGCCAGCGATGAAGACGACAGCGCTGACAACCAGCCGCTTATTGTTGCCGCGCCCAAGTAAGATGTTATAAAGTTACTTTTTTGACTTTGAAACAATCCTATATATATCTTTCGCTAAACAAAAAAACATGATCCTATTCATCAAGAGAGTTGCATCTAATAAGAGAGATCTCTTAAGAGATTATTGTTGGAAAAAATTCAAATAATCCGAACTAAACTAATAGTAGTTTAAAATCGTTATAATTTTTACAGAATTGATAAAGAAAAAGAGAAGGAGAAAGAAAAAGAAAAGGAGAAAGAAAAAGAAAAGGAGAAAGAAAAAGAGAAGGAGAAAGAAAAAGAGAAGGAGAAAGAAAAGGAGAAGGAAAAGGAGAAAGAAAAAGAGAAGGATAAAGAGAAAGTGCCGTCGACACGGACTAGCGAAGAGAAGACAGTGGTCAAGCCGCGTTCCCAGTCCAAAACTAGAAGCTCTTCTGTTGCCAAGATTGATTTGCACGAAAAGAGAACACCTAAAAGGAGACCTTTTCATCCTAAAAGTTAGTAACTTTATTCTATCGTAATATTAGCAAATAATAATATTATTAATGTTTAGTTAATTTGACTAAGTACCACTTTGCATTCTAATCCTGATTATTTTATAACGGATTTTGAAGAACTTAATACTAAAGTCTTAATACTTCATTGTGATGCTGCTTCATTTACCGAAATCAATATCTTGGAATATTTTGTCTTGAATTTGGTAATTGCGAATGAGTGAGAGATCGGAATCCGTTTTTTTTTCGTCACACAAAACTCTTGTAGAGAGTAGAGTTGCATATATATTTTTGTGTATATTTGACGTGTTTCGTGTTTAGAAACTCAGGTTTATATTTTGCAGTGTCGGAGGGTCCGAACGCCGGCACGCAGCGCGCCTCACGTCGCCCGCACGCGTCCACAGATAGCGACAGTTCCGGACGCGCTTCTAGGTAACAACTACACACAACTCCGGTTATAACGACGTCGGGGATACTGGCGACTAGTCAGTCATAATAACAGATATTATTTCAAATCAATATTGTACTGTTTATAAGGTCATTTTGTGTCGTTTAGTAAGCTTCTTTTTTTAATATCCATATTATATTCATTTTTAGTTCTTTACACACTTATTTCTATTATATTTTTTTATGTAAATATAGTATTTGATGAATCGTATTTTTTTATTTTGCAGTCGATGTGGACCTACCAAAAAAATGCAAAGTCGTCGCAGCCAGAGCGCGAATTCGGCGAGCAGTGGCAACACTATCGCCTCAAACAGTAGCAAGAGACCGCGCAAGAGAAAGAGCACAGAGTAAGATGAAATATATTAGTACAATGCTTATATAGTTATATATTATGAAAATGTATATAAACAATTTAATTTAATTTTTCAAGGCCTTCAATGAGTGAATGCACTCGGTCCGGCGGTGTCAGCGTCAAGGCACAAGTTGGCGATAAACTAAAAGTCTACTACGGCCCTACACAGTCTGAATCAAAGGTACATTTTTATCTACTCTGTGATCATCATCAGCTATATATCTCCAATGAGGAGCTTAGAGCATACCCTGTGTATATTATATCATGTCTAAATCTTACTAATGGGATGGATGGGATGGTTGTTTGTTGGTGAGAAGGGTTGTACAGAACGGCTGAATGGATTTTGATAAAATTTGGTGTAGATGTAGATCATAGTCTGAAATAACACAACTAATTATTTTTTTATTTTGTGCGAATGGAGTCGCTAGCGACAGCTATATCAATATAACTCCTTTGTCAGGTGACGTATGAGGCGAAGGTAATCGAGGTGTCCAGTGAGGGTCTGCTGCGTGTGCACTACACGGGCTGGAACACGCGCTATGACGAGTGGATCAAGCCGCAGCGCATCGCACTCAATGTCACACAACACGACGCACGCAACAAAAAGGTTACATACAACCTACTTAGACCTACCCCACATACAAAAATACATAAGTTTACGGTTTATATGAGAAATCTATGCGCTAAAACACTTTCTGTATATTATTTCAAATTTTTATCGCTTACTTTGACTAATAAATAAAATATTTTCAGAATACCAGCTTAAGTCGTCGTTCTAGAACTAAAAGAACGGAAGGTAATATAATATATATCCATATTGACATTTGTTTTTTTTTCTTGTTATATACTTTATTACAAAATATGTATATATAAAAATTTCAGAAACTTCATTTACAGAATCATCCGCCCGCTCCGACTCTGACACTGATTCTGACAGCGATGATGATATTAAACGGGCATGTAAGAAACCAGATGAAAAGCCTAGTCCTAAAAGTAAGTTATTTGCTAATGAACTTGAAAAAAAACATAATTAGCCCATGATTTCTTCCAGATTATGTCCTATATGTATGCCAAATTTCATCGAGATTCTTTCAGCCGTTCTGGAGATACCTTCAAACAAACATCCACCCATCTAAACATTCGCATTTATAATATTAGTAAGATTAATAACTGTATTTTTACAGCGCCACCAAGATCAAAAGATGCCAAGTCAAGTGATAGCAGTGGGTCAAGCAAGCCTCGTAAAAGACCAGTAAGAACCATTTCCACTCCAACAATGGCATCTCCAGCTAAGAAACCTCGAGTTAACGCCAATAACCATCAGCATCAAGGCAGAGATTACGACCTCAATGAAATACGATCTGAACTTAAAGGACTGCATAGTGTTAAACAAGAACCAGAAGATACCATCAAATCTGACCAAAAAGATAAAACTCCAAGCCCCGTAACACAAATAACAGTACAACCCCCTGAACCACCACAACCAGAAAAACAAGCCGAAGATGTGTACGAATTCAAAGAACCAGAACCATTCGAAATAGAGCTGCATGATGAGAAGAAGAAGCGAATGCATCGTATATTCGATGACATTTCACCGAGCAAATACACATCGTCTTTATCAAAGTCTTTAAGCGAGGAAATATCAGAGGAATCATTGAGACCTCGAGCTTCCAATCTAAGATCTCCATCCCTATCGCCGTTCAGAGATTTCGGAGCAACAAGAGAGGAACCCAGTCGACAGACTCCCGAAGAAGACTCGAAAGATGGTCTTTTCTCAATAGACGATGATTCATTACCAGGGGAAGGTAGCTCGGGACCGATCTTCGAAGGTTTCACTCCGGCCAAGAACCAAGAAACCTATTCTAAAAAGAATAAAGTCAACAAATTACGTGAATTGATCGACGACTCACCAGACAGTCCAGCTGACGATGAGCAGTCCTCTGAGGATGAAACTGAGGAAATGAAAGAAGAGAGCGAACCGAGTTCAGAACCACCGCTATTGGAGATTGTAGAAGTACCGGAGCCAATTAAAGAAGAAATTCATACCACAGATGCAGTGAAAGAAGTTGTTATCATTTTACAAGAAAATGAACAACAATTAAATGCTATACCACAGCCTCCGGGAACACCGCCCCTTCAAATTAAGTTACAAGCGCCGGATGCAAGCGATATTGTTAATTCGAAGCCCATAAATAATTCAACTGAATGTCTTGAGGAAACAAAGCATACACCATCAGTTGATAAAGAAGAACAAATTAAGCTGCTATCGATTCCCCTCCCCGCTACGGAGCCCAAAGAGAAAGGGAATCTGAAATTAAAAATCGAGAAATTAGATCCGGATCCGATTATTTCAAAATTAGAACCACCATCTAGTCCCCTTATCGATACAGAAGAAGATAAATCGGAACCAGACAGTCCGGCTCGTATTGACGTGCTACCGGAGCCACCTCCCGGCTTCCTTCTACAATCAGAAGGTCCTAAGATCGCTGAGAAACTACTGAAAGCTATAAACAGCGCCAAAAGACTGTCAATGTCTCCGCCGCCGGTGAATAGCACCGACCGACCTCTAACACCGATCAAAGATATTCCAATGCCAAAAGAAGATAAACTCTCCTCAATATCACCAGAAATTAAACCGCTCATCAAATCTGAATCTTTGAAACCATTGAGTAAAATAGAACCGATTAAGAAAATCAGTCCGCTGCCGTTATCTGACTCTATATTCGGCGAGCCGTCGAACTTTACCGATTTGAAGCGTGATTTATCTGAAATTAAGAAAATTAAGAGTAAGGAGCCTACACCGCCACGTTTGCAGAGTCCTTTGAACATATTAGAGCGTCGTAAGAGCGTGGCCGACCTCCCTCTGGCCGGCAAAAATAACAAGGTCCTCAGCGATACTATACAGAAGCTGTCCAGTCAGATCAACCAGTCGGCAGCCAACATTCCCTTGCCGCCCTTCCCGCCCGGCGACAGGAGCGAGTCCAGCGATTCTGATGACTCCGACAGGAGGTAATGTGCTTTTTTGCTAAAACACATAAAACAATACATATTGTCAGCCTCTCATTCCCTTTGTACAAAAACAGAAATAACTATATTTTATACATATTGTATTAAGAATCGCCTGTATTTAAATTAACTGAAAATCTGAGTTTTATTTTGGTGTAGATTAATAATCGACAAGGTGTCGATGGAGGAGTGGGGCAGCGGTGGCAGTGGAGGGAGCGGTGGCAGCCTGGAGGGTCGTGGTGCTCGAGCCCTGCACGCCGGCAAGTCGCCCGGCGAGTGGAGCGCCGGCGAGTCGCTGCTCATGCTCGAAGACGCCTGCAAGAATGAACGGAAACATAGTCAGTTGCACTAATCATATTTAAACCATTAACATCATTCGATATCATTCGTCTAAAATTAACAACTACTAAAATAGTGCTTTTAGTAACAAGCTTTCTTTATACAGGTGCAAGCGTAGTGGTTGCAGGTAGCGGGCGTGCGGGCGCCAGCAGCGGGAGCGCGGTGGGAGGCGGGGTCTCGGGCTTGTTAGGCGTGGGTATGGCGGGGGGCGCGGAGGACGACAGCAACATATCACTGCTTCTGTGCGAGGAGACGATCCCCGGCTCCCCGGCACCAGACGCCGAGCCCGCGCCGCCCCGCCACAAACACACGCTGCCCTTCGCCTGCGCGCCGCCTCACCACTCCCACTCCAAAGGTTAAACATTGAACCTCGATTTTATATTTATAATACGATAGATACGATAAGGAAAGATATGACAAATGGCTCAGAATAAGTATAAATGTATTTTACACAATTATTGCTAGTAGTTGTTGGAAGTAGCTCTTCTAGAAAGGCGGAGTACCAAAGAATATGTTCAAAACCGATAAACATTGATTTTGAAACGACGTGTTGCAGCAGAAGAGCGTTGCAGCGCCGGTGGTTCGCGCGAGGGCGGAGCGGGCGCCGGAGTGGGCATGGCGGGCGGCTTGGGCGTGATGGGCGGTGTAGGCGTGGTCGCCGCTGCGGCGGAGCAGGTGGCGGCGGGTGCAGGTGCGGCGGGCGCAGGGGGCGCGGCGCCGGGCTGGGCGCGCCGCCACGCACTGCTCGACAACACGCCACCCACCACACCTGACAGCAGTCTCGACTTGTCACCACACCGGTACACATCCTTACCAATTATTCAACAAGCAAGGAGCATTAAATATCGATATAACTGTTAAAATACAACCATGTAATCCAAAATATATTTTTCTTTGTGTCAGTCATAAAATAATTAGTCATGTTTAACAGAGAGCGGCGCTTGTCGGAACGCGACAGTCCCTTGGAGCGCAAGGAAGATGACGACGACGTGGCTGCACGCTCACCGCACCACATGGATATTGACAAGCCTCGTCGTGAGTTTTTGTTTACGTTAATACGTAAACGTATACTTTTGATGCGTTTAAAACAAATAAGTATATACCATAAACAATTTCACTAGACTTTTGATGAAATTTGAAACTAAATCTTTAATTAATTTGTTGCAAATATTTAGTTAACATTGTATAGCCCTTTATTCTATTTATTTCATTAAAAATGTATATAAATTGGGTTTTGGCACAGCGAGTCGTTCGCGTAAAGCGTCTGAGAGCTCTACAGCGGGGCGTGGCAGATCGCGGCGCGCACGTCGCGACACGGACGAGCATGCGCACGCGCACTTGCCGCTCTCCCACAACTCGCACCACACACCATACAAGTACAATTTTATGACGGACCTGGGTACGAATATAGTTTACAATATTGTCATCCCCTTAATCTCTTTGAAAAATAATATATTTGTTCGACAAAGTAAACCTACTGTTTCCAACGTTGGAATGGATACAACATTTATCTTGTTACTAACAAGGCTATATAGATTTTCATATTCATCGGGAATGAAGTAACTGGCAAAACCTAATAATTTTTAAGACACCATGTGTGTAGATCCGACGTGGGACTGCGAGAAGCGCATCAAGGTGCTGACGTCACGGCTCGGCGAGCTGCGTAAGACGTACCACTCGGTGAAGGCTGAGCTGGCAGCCATCGACCGCCGCCGCAAGAAACTGCGCCGCAAAGAGCGAGAGGGTAACTTCACATTTACACATATCAATTCTCATTAAATTCCCTGCCTCAATGAATTTAAAATATATAAAATTAATATACGTACTAGCTGACCCGCCGTGATTGCAAAAGAAATCTCTATAAGCCAGATGCATTATCTGGCAGCGATGGACGACCTCCATAAGTGAGAAACTTTTAGTAGACCTCCCAAAGCGAGAAAAATATCGCAGTCCCTTTGACTCTTACTTATCCAGGTTTGATTATATATAGAAGTTAAAATATAATATTTTATTTACAGCTGTCAAGGCGGCCAAAGCGGCGTGCTCATGATGAAGACTAATGCTACTAGGAATACCTGGTGAACTATATGTTTATTCGTTTTAGAATAAACGGAAAGGGTATCGACAGTAGCAAAATCTAAATTATCTGTGGAACAGAACAGTGAAAGTACTTGCATTTATCAGTGCTAGTGGATAAAGTGTTAGTGTTAAAGTTATGTTCTTAAATCGCGACGAAAATGCTGTTTTAATATTTTTTTTTAACATTTGATGTATTTCTAGATTGTTGTATAGTGGAATATAAATCTTAAGTTATATATAACATGTTGTTCTACTATCGAAACATTTGTGTAAAAACAACAAAATAGATATAGCAATAATATGTTTTTGTACATATTTTTCGGTAGTGAAAACTCAGAGAATGTATGTTTTGAATATGCTTGCGCATAAATGAACAAACTGCTAGGGCTGGTCTTAGATGTAACAAAGTCTAACAGAAATGTTTCTTTTGTACATATTACTGTAAATATTTTAATAAGTTAATTGATAAGCTTTGTATTGTATGTATTAGTCTTTTTCTTAATCACGCTAATTAAATGGATATTTTCCATATAATTGCTAATTTTCATGTGTTTATAAAAAATCGCACTTTTATCCTTATATATAATCGGACCTCCACAAGCGAGAAACTTGTGTTAGAGGAAACCTCTTTAAGCGAGAATAATGTCGCGGTCCCTTGAACTCTCCAATATCCAGGTTTGACTGTATTTATATATTGTAGACGTGAAATGTATATAAAGATTGTATATGTGCTGACGTTATTTGTAAAAGATGGCGATGAGACGACAAGAAAAGATGAGAAAGGTGTAAAAGATGTGTGTGTACCTTTATCAATATTTTAGTAACTAATAGTCTTTAGAATTAACTATTTCTATATAAAACGCACTTAATTGATGTCTAAATATAAATTATTACATATTGTTAAGATATAATAAAGTCTTTTTGCAATAATATATATGTATGTAAAATTAAGAATGACTTATCGCAACTTTATATCTTTATATTCAATATTTATTATTCATACTTCATTACGAAAAGTAAATAGTGTTGTATTTTAGTCCGGTAACAATTTCTGTAGTAGTTTATAAATTTATCTATTTTAAAAATGTATAACTACAATATATAATAAATCTTATCTACACTAGATGGAAATAGGTTAATGTAATGTTTTCTTGTAGTTTCATCTAGATTGCTGTAAAATTGCTTAGCGTAAGTTTCCACTGACGAAACGCCAAAAAATCAACGGAGTTAGACAAAGTTCATTCGCTGCGAAGCGATTCCATAGCGAACTTCAAATATGTAGAGAACTGACAATAACTTTGGATAATTACGTGATTGTCGCGCGTCAGTTACATTAAATTTTGAAGTTCACTATAGAATCGCTTCGAAGCGAATGCACTTTGCTTAACCCCGCAGATATCAGCTACGGTTTATGTACATACATTTTATGTAAATTTAAAATATTACATTTTGTTTTGTGTAGTGTTTTTTATCTATTTCATGTAAAATCTATGTTTAAATTACATCACCGCAATTTATTCTCTTTAGGGCGAAATTTAATGCAAAGAAATAAACTTATAAACAAAATGTGTAATGTATTCATCAACCTTAACAATTTCGTTATTTTCATATGAAGGTCGTGACCATCTCATCTCGCACAAGACACGTTAAATTGCTATACTTGGTAAAAAAAAAACAAATGCATAAAGTCATACAATTTATTCAAAGTTGTCAAAAAATTACAACAAAAGAACATCAATCATTACATTTTAATTTCATAATGAAATGAAAAATGTAAGATAATCTTTTACTTATAATTAAATTTCTACTGTATCACTATTGCGAACGTTCCAGATGGGTTAAGTGTGGGTGGGGGCTGTATCTCAGTAGTAGTTGGGGTACTGCGGCCAGGGGTGAGGGTGGTGCTGGTAGGGCCCTGGAGGCTGCTGGTAGCCCCAGGGCGGCTGGTAGGGCTGCGCGTAAGACTGGTCGTAGGACTGCGCGGTGGCGGTTGGCGTCTGGTAATACCCGCTGTTGGCGCTATTCGTGGTGGCGCTGCCGACTGCCATCGTACTGCCGTCTTTTTTCTTTGTCGGGTCAATTGAAGCTCTGTTATATGACGATACATTTAGTAAAGACTATATGGTTTCATAATAATAGCCACATTTAGATTCATATTTAAGTGATTGACATTGATTTCTGAGACCAAAATTCCCGTTTAAGACTAGACTAAGAGAATAAAGATATCTTTTGGAGATTTTAGTCTCGGAAACCAACGCTGAGAGCAGTAATAAGTACGGGGTCGTGTGTTCGTACGTGGGCAGGGGCGGGTGTTCGTGCTTGTCCTTGCGCGCGCGCTTGCGCAGGTGTTTGCTGAGCATGCGCCAGTGCCGATGCGCGGCGCGTGCGGCCGCCGCTGAGCCCAGCTCCTCAGCCAGCTCACGGCGCCGGCACGCCATCAGCGCTGCGCTCTCCGGCTCCGCGCCCTCCTCGCGCTCGTAGGACATCGCCAACTCTGTCACATCATCCAAAAATTATTTGTTTTTATGTTAGTAATCGTGGACGTTATATACAAATATGAACAAGACAAGGCGGTTACCTTCCAACATCTCGTATGGCGTGCCGGGCGTGTGCAGCGCTATATCCAGACGCTGCATGTGCAGACGCACGTTGAGTGGGTCGCGGGCAATGGCGTCGTCGATGGCGCTTTTTGCGGCGGAAGCGTCGCGGCGCACGTGGAACAGGAAACGCACATACTTAACGCTAAGCGCGGATGCGATTGCCTTGCTCTTCGCCGCCGCGATGTACGACTCGTACAGCTGGCAACACTTCTCGTAGTCGCCGCGTCTACGTTCTAGATTCACTCGCCTGAAAATTATTCTGCTTATGAGATCTTATGTGCTTATTAAGTGCGTGCGTGGTAAGAATATCAACCAGTACCTAATGAGTACTGGTTGATATTGTGTTGATATAAAAGTGTGGGTAGAATAAAAATATACACAATTTAGAAGTGGCGGGGTACGAGAGGAGGGCAGTGCACAGCGCGTCGATGTCCTTGGGCCGTTCAGATGTTTGAAAAGAGTTATACCTGTACTGTATCTGCACTAAGGTGGGGCAGGTCTTCTCGATGCGGTCGAGTATTTCCGCGGCGCGCGCGGGCTGGTCTTGCGCCTCCTCGAAGTGCGCCCAGTACAGATGCAGCTCCGGTTTGTCAGGGTGGTGCACTGTGCACGCGCGCTCCAGCACCTCACGCTGCAGAGCCGCAACCTCGGCCTCCGATTCCGCGCGCTCCTCCAGAAACTTCACCAACTGGAAAATATTTACACTATCAAAACTATACCCTTACAAAATTGTCAGTCGGACAAGAGCTACAGATCACATAAATATACACTAATATAGGCACTATTTTTTAGACGTACCCTCATCCAGAACTCTTCGTACAGTGCACAAGCAATGAGACATCTCTCGTGCAGCACGAGAGCCCTTTTAAAGGTGCCGTGCTGCTTTTCCCATTCCAGGTACGCCTTCCAGTTCTTCAGCTGACAACGTTCTAGCGGCTTCACGTGGAAGTAAGGTCGCTTTATCTACAAGGAACAACGAATGTTAAAAACATCAAGATACAATTTCTTTTATACAAAGTTCATAAATCATGTTTTTCATGAAAATACAATTTAAATGTATGAAAAAAAGATCTATGAAATATTTACCCCCTCTTCGAACGCCCACCGCGCTGCGACCTCCTCGCCAGTAGTCTTGTGCACTTTCCTTCTAGCGGCGATAATGCGCTCCTTGATCGCCTGAGCTTCCTCCTCTGACGCCTGAAGACACAGATCGTATTAAATATTGTAACTGACACACTCACCCTCGATTAATGATAACTTAAACAGCTACTAAGTGGAGATTTGTGAAACTAAATCTAAAACAATTTCGGCTGATGATCCATGCTTATAGTTCTGTAGGAGAGAGTACAATTAAAAAAATAAATTCACTCCATGCTTAGGATACTATCATTTAGCATTTGTTGCAAAAAGGTTTCTTATTGTGAGGATATTTGACCCTATATTAGACTTTTAATTGGGATGAGTAGGATAAGAAGTTGTGTACATACAATGTGATCCTGCGGTTCGTCTTCTCCAGGAGGCAGATCTAGCTGCGGCTGCGCACCTGCCGTCTCGCGCACCTCACTGCGCAGACGCACCAGCTCACCGCGCGGCACAACACCACCCACAGGCTCCGACATCACGTGCTCTTGGAAACTACACACCAGTACAAAATATTACACTTACATCTCCAATTCCTATACTAGTTTAAGTTATCTAATTTTCATGGGGAAATATTTTATTTCTGTATCTGTTCATTAAAGGTAGGTCATAGCTAAGTAATACATCTAGTATTTTTTGGCTAATTGCAGATACATGCAAACGTTTTGCAACTTTTTACTACCACAAAGGTCATTCGCGCTCAGGACATTATTGTAACTAACGCTAAAGGTAAGAATATAACAAGATTAATCAAGTTTACTGCAAAGTTGTGTCACTGACTTATCAAAGTGCGAGGTATATCCGAGCGTGGGTGTGGCGAGCAGTCTGTCATAGATGCCGGTCACGTTGAGGGCGGTGCCGTTCTCCGCCTCCCACTTTATATAAGACTCCCACAGACGATCCGAACGAAACTCTAACCCACAAGCCTCTGAAATTATGATAAACACTGAATTTTGCTTACATTTTACAACGGAACAAATGGCATATAGGAAGATATAGAACAAAATTGTAGTAATTAAAATAAAATTTTATCTTACCTATAGCTCTTTCATACTGAGATCTGACATACGGTAGATCTTCACTTCTAGTTGCTTTTATATGATTCAGGTAATGTATCCAAAGGTCCACAGATAATGGTATCGCTTTCAGACCTCTTTCCAAAACCTGCAACATAGCGAGGTGAGAGATGTGCTCGCGGTGCTCGGAGCGTCGCCGCCGCAGCGACAACGCTATGCAAGCAAGGGAATATCAAATAGCATTATATTACTCATATAAATTTGGAAATGATGAAGTGAGTCGTTGGAGTCGAGTCGCAACGTCTCACCTGCATCCAATGTATATAAAATGTTTGTCGGTCATATTACACCTGTGTCCGCCGCGTCGCACGCCGCCGCCGCCGGCCGCCATCGCTAACTCAAGCGCTAAAAGCCTCGCTAAAACCTGTGTCGCTCCATGCCTAACATGGATTAGTCATTAGATTCGCTTAAGTATCTCCAATGTATCAACATCAACTTAAGTAATGTACAAACATATCATTATAACAATACATCATAAACTTAAGTAAAATACAAATTATACACCACAAACAATGATACACTAGACCGAAAACTACGCGACGTTTATACAAGTGTCCGGTGCGAACCGATGAATTTGCCATATCAACGTGGGCGGCCTCGTTGCACTGTTGGGAAAAAAAATAATTGCACAATACCGGTTACAACTAAAACAATTGTAAATCCAAGTGTTATTTGAACACAATCAAGTGAATTTCATTTTAATTCATATCGCATGATTCACCAAGTTATATAACTTAATTATATGAATATTAGCATGGATATGCACTCACCTCGAGACACTTCTTTTTACTTCCTTTACGTTTCTCGTAGTCGGCGTACTTCCTCCAGTAGCCGTAGCAGTAGGGGTAGTGAGAAAGGAAAGCGTCGTACGCCTCTCGAGCAGCCTCCACATCGCTCTGACAAACACATAACACTTGTATTAAAATGTTTCTCATATACACATATCAAACACAAAACAATATAATATTCAGTTGGCCCTTGCCAATCCACATAATATATTCAGTTCTTATCGCTTCACAAAGCAATAAGATTAGCGTAATATTTCATCATGTTAATTCTATCTTTCTTTTTCACCGCACTTTCATATTAACCAACTCACCTCTTGGTCTACATATTGTAACAAATATGTCCATCCAGTGAAGTCAGTGGGGTCATCATTAACAACTTTCCAGTACTTGTCAAGCTCGGGAAGAGGTTTCTTCTTAGGTTTTTCATCAATGGATGATCTTTTCTCCGCAGGTATCGGTTTACTTTCACCATTCTGAAGAAAAAAAATGGTTACATACTAAAAGAACATTGATAATATCAGGAAAAATCTAATTGAAGAATACAAATATCAGGGCAATAATTTTTTTATATCATTAAGGGGCAAGCAAGTACTAGCAGCCTTCATAAAAAGAATTAATTGACACATATGAATATGTGCAACTCTGAACATCAGAGATCAGAGATAAAAAAAAAAGAACCACAGATGCATTGCCAACCTTTAAAGAGGTTCACTCTTTTGAAATAAAATGAACTGTTAATTTTATTTCAAGCCTTTCACAAAATAAAACTGCAGGTTCATTTCAGTCATTCCACAATTCATATGTGCATTTAAAAAATTACATCTATGAGCTCTAAAAGTTTCATACTTAAAAAGTGAATGTAAAAATAATTGAATATTTGTAACTAACCTTAGCAACAGCCTGCTTCTTATTAGATGATTCACCTTCAGATGTGGGTGATCCTGGATCATAACCATCTCTCTCTTCATCAGGTTTTCTCTTCCGAGATTCTTTTGACTCTTTTTTAGATGATGGCAATTCATCTTCAGATACAACCTGAAATTAAAATAAACATCTTTTTATACAAATAATACCTTATTAAAAAAAATATAAATGCAACCTTGCCTATTTATACATATTTACTAAAATACTTGACCATTATTTGGCGTGTCTTCTTTTGTAATTTATACTGTTTAGTGTTATTTACAATTTCCAATTGTGAAGTTGTCTTATTATCACATGTCTGTAAATAGTTTGGATATGTTTTGAAAGAACTTGTATGTGTCTTATGATTATCACTAGTTACAGTTGACCTTTTTATGATTTTTATAACTAGATTGTTAAAGCATCTTCAGTTTTGATAAATTTTGATATTATATTCAAGTAAAGATACTTATAAGAAAATAAGAAACTAATGCTTTAATAGTTTTAAAACTATTTCATAAATATTTACTCCTGACCTTTTGCCAAAGATTAAAATGAACATAAAAATTATATTAGATCAAGTATATAATTTTAAATAAAAAAAAAATATTGACAATAACCTCAGTATCTGCTGGTAGGTCAGCAGGCTTAGGTCCTGGTAGTTCATCATCAGACACATTTTCAGCATCCTTTACACTTGGCTTCTGGACAGCGGGCAGCTCATCCTCAGATACTACTTCTGTCTCTTCAGCCCCACCAATTTTTCCCTCTACATTGAACTAAATTACGTAAAAAAATTACAAATGGTCATTCAGATATAGCATTTATTGTGCATATTTTCTTATAAAAAATTAGTATTAATGTTTAAAACTTTATACCTATACAAATTTAATATGTTATGTTTTGGGTTTTATAGTTAAACTCACTTCAGTCTTTGCTTTGGCATCATTCAGAACTTTATCATCCATCAGTCTGTCAGTTAAATCATTGTTTAAATCAGAATTTTGTTTTTCTGGAAAACCCTTATTTATTGTTTCACTTACCTAAAATAATGTAAATAATGTTAGCTAGTCAAAAATATTGCTACAATTTAAACTAACAAATTGCAGCAATTGGTGGACTTTGCAAACTTTACAACTCATTACAGTCTAGATATATTTATCACAGATTACGATCTACCTACAGAATTTTATTTATGTAATATAAAATATTTGATTATTTCTTCTATTAGATAAACTAAATGTTTACAATTTTTTATCATAATTAGTGAAGCAATATTATATGACTCACTGGTGACCTTTAATTTCAGTACTGGTATTAAGTATGGCATATATCTCATAATAATACAAGTAATGTAATCCCATTGGTGAAAATAAATAAAAATATTTAATTACCTTATCTTTGCCTAGAGCAGTATCTTCAGAAACATTATTTATTTCTCTGACCAATTTACGGGGTTTGGAATTATTACCAGCGCAGTCAATTTCCTCTAACTTTGAGTCTTCTGTATTCTCAGGTTGAGCTGGCATTTTAATATTGTTTGTGATTTCGGCAGCATTGTCATGTACATTGTCTGATTTCCCCTTGACCTTCCCATCTTGACTATCTTCCACATCTGAAATAACGGCTTTAAAAACAGGTTCACTCAATCGAGAGTCCCCATCGGTTAGCGCGTTACTTGACTCATTAGAAAATTCTACAGCGTTATCACCGACGTCGAAATTGTCTCTGCTGAAACCAGTGGCGTTATTTTCCAAATAATCACCAACACTACCTGCTGAAAGCTCGACCGCATTGAGAAAAGCTTGATTTGATGTTGACGATTCGTCCACAACACCAGCGTCGACACTGTTAAATTCGCCTTCCGTTAAAAGATGAGACAATCCATTCGAATTTTCATTTATCAAAGGGCCTTCGTCGGTATCCATTGGACTCTCCGAAGTACATTTCTAAAACATTTTTACGATTAAATATTAAGTTTTCACACCGCATTTTACCATATAATATTAGGTTATATTTTTATTGCCCATACCTGTGCATCGGAACTAGCGTCATCATCCATTTTTAGTCTTCAGGTTTACTTTTCACAAACTCCGAAAACTATTGGATTCAACGAGAGAAAATGACTTGCAAAAATATTTAAAACTAATGCAACTAATGCTTACTGCAAAATTCAAACAAATTACGAATTATCAGTGGAACTATACAACAAAATACCCACGCAAATACCGTCGATCAAAGAGTAAGAACTGTAATTGACGTTTTAAAAAGTAAAAAAATCGCAAATCCAGGCTTTCAACTTTACAGAATACAAAGCTACGCCTCGTAAAGCTCCACATTTAAAACAGATAAACGTTGTATAATGTGATTAATTAAATCTAACTTAATCAGTCTATTTGCGCTGCCAACTAATTTATATTAAAAGTTGAAATTCTAGCCAAATGCTGAAATGCACAAATAAACATCTTACGATACATACTCTTTATTCTAACCTTACTTTTACTTTAAGTCAAAGTCGAATAAACATTTTTGGTTATGATTTGATTATTGTAATTATAAATTGACTCTTTTTAGTTGCAGCTGTTAAGGATATCGAATATGTTGGGAATACGTGCTATTTGCAACATAGCCACACCCTCAAAATCGTTATTAGTGAATCAAACTAGAGTAGGTGTAATTTAAAGCACTTTTAGGTTTGTAAAGCACTAAAAATAATGAATTAAAAACAATCCTCGTTTACTTTACAGAATACTTTTATTTTACGGAGAAGATGGCCTCCACCGTTGCACAAGAAACACGGAAAACCTGCTAAAATGAGAGGGAGGCACTTTGTCTATGATTTAGTGGAAGACACAAATGTTGTAAAGAAGCCAGACATGAAGATAATCTTGAACCAATTTATCGATGGTAATTTAAAGTAAATCTTTTGATTTTTATTTCATTTAAACTTTATAATAGGTAGAATACCCTGAAAAGACAATTTATTATGATTGATGATAGTTTTTTTAAACAAGCTTCAAAAAAATTCAAATTTATTTTCGTACACAATTAAATAGAATAATTTGTTAATATGTGGATATTTACAGCAATGTTGTTTGCATGCATTATTTTATTAAAGGATATTTCAACTAATGTTATAAATATAACATATTAAAATCTTTCTAGGTGTCGGAGAGACTGGAGATGTTTTGACTCTGAGTCCCGCCAAAGCCTACAAGAACTTCCTTGTACCAGGCTTGGCAGTGTATGCTACACCAGAAAACATAGCAAAGTATAAGGTTGATGAAAACAAGCCGAAAGACAAAAGCAATTTCAGTTCTCCATATGTACAAAGGGTATATTGTTTACATTTATAATTTATTTAGAAATACTAGAATATACATAAGGGCAGTACCAGTTTTAGTAAACTGACTACTAATAATTAGTATAAAGTTGAAAACTTACCCTTAACTTACACAAATTTACCACACTTACTGCAGTTGCCACTAAAACTAGAGTCTAGCTGACTGCACATTGTCATAACAGCTATTGTATTAAGCTTACAATGCATATGGCACCTTTACAACCAACTGTAGGGTAATTGTCCTCCATCATGGTGTGGTGATTTTTACATCAATAATTTTGAAGTTGGTTATTAATTAGAATTACTTGATTATATTTGAAGGACTATGTCGTAAACATTTACAGACTATGAGCTGTTTGTCACGCCTAGTACTACAGATAACTATGAGCAAAACTGAACCCTGGACACTGGAACCTTGGCATGTGCGGACATCTTTCCGGAAAGCAGGATTTGTGGTGCCAGAAGATACTATAACTATGCCTCCAGTCAAAATCTCAGGTCCTGATCTGTCTTTGCAGGAGAAAGAATTTTATGTGACTGTCAAGGTAAAATAGTTTTTAATGTGACACTAAAGCATACTTATTAAATGGATTTCCATTTAAGTATAAATTAAATACTGTGAAAACTTTTTTGCTTTAATGGATTATGTATGGAAACTTTTTGATAACATTAAATATAATATTTTTTTTATGATAATTTGCATGTTGTAATCTTAAAAACGTTTTCAATTACAGATAAATAACAAGGAAGAAGTCAATGTGAGATGCAGGATACATCACTGGGCGACAGGTCTTGAAAAACTACCATGGGACGAGTTCCATTGGAAAAAACCTCGTGAACCGCTTATCCCAGAACAAGCGGCGGAGTTAGCGAATATACCCTTAGCTTAAATAACATTATATTAACTGTTAGTATAGTAAAGAAATAAGAATTATATATGTGTTTCTCTCTTTATACCGGGCATTGTGGCAATCGATGATGGAGGCGTACACTCAACAGTGGACGATTTAGGAGGACGTATATGATGATGATGAATAGAAATAAACAGGCCGACAAAAAGAAAACTCGAAAACTTGAATGTTATTTTATTATTGTTTTATTTGAAATATTAGCAGGTTTTTGTTAGTTTACTAATTTAACCTCTTGTTAATACCGTTAGAGAAAAGTCGAATGACAAGAATCGAACCCACGGTGACGTGAGTGGATCGATCAAATATGGAGAATTTAAGAAAATACTTTTAGAAATAAACAAAACCTCATTTAACTTTACGACACATCGAATATAAAAATCCAATTTATGAGGTTATGGATCTAGTTCAATTGCTAGAACAATGGTGTTATCCAAAGTTCAAATAACCAAAATTGACGAGAAGTACCCAACACTGGAAGTTCTGGATGTTAACAATTCTCCGAGGAATTGAACTGCTGAATGTTGTCGAAGGCAAGATAGAAAAGCCTGGTAAAGTTGGAGATGGACCAGCTGCAGGACCTTTGGCTGCTTATAGTACTCCTATGAAGGCATATGTAAGAAATGATAGCACGGATTTGCTTTTAATAACTATTAACATATTGGACCAAGCTCTTGAAAAAGTAATGAGATTCAGAACGTCAAAGGAGGTGTGAAAAGAACTACATAAGCTGTATGAAGGCGTAAATGAGGACCGCCTGTACGATGTAATTGTGAAATTCGTCCGATTCTGTATGGATTCGGCAGATGCTAACATCAAAGGATAACACTGTACCTCACAAGTCACAAGAGAATCTCACAAATCAACTGTGCGCACATGAGAAAGCTCTAAATTGTGTCGATAGACAATCACATTGTAAAACTATGGCAGCTAAGACCGTAAACAAAATTGGAAGAAGCAAGCGTTTACAATTAAACTGAATCAGGATTAGAAGGTGAGATGATTTGTCTGTAAGGAAAAGGAGTCACCTTAAGAAACATTGCCCAAAGAGACTTGTTGCTCAAAAATCTACAGAGAAAGTAATATGATTTTACCCTCTTTGAACACCATTGGCGAAATATTGATCGTGACAAGTGGTATAAAGATACCATATTATGATGACATCTTTTTTCAAGCTATTCAATGGGAGTCACACCGTAACTACGGCTGATGGGAAGACGAATAATGCCATAGGTAAAGGATCGATCAAAATTGAAGCCAAGCTGAAAGATAATACTGCAAGTTGAACAAATGAAAAATGAATATGAAGGTGAATTCGTAAATACCCAGGTACAGAAAGTTATGTTGGAATTTGGCATTCATAACAGACTAAAAATGCCATATACGCTGGTACAAAATGGCGTTAGCGAGAGAGAATCGCATAATAAATAGAGAGAATCGCATAATAAGTAGCAAGAGCAATGATGCTTGCTCAAGAGGAGATACCTGAAAGATTGTGGGCTGAGCTTGTCAAGACTTTGGTTATATCTTGAATAGAACTGGACCCATAACCTATTAAATTACATTTTTATATTAGATGTATTGTAAACTTAAATAAAGTGTCATTTGTTTCTAAAAGTATTTTCTTAAATTCTTCATATATAATCGATCCACTTTAAGAGGGTAAACGGTGGTTTAACAAATAGTGGGGTTTATAGCTGCAAAATTGTGAAGGTAGACTCAGGTCTTAGACGCAGGACATAATTAAGCGATTGGTGCCAGATTGAATAACGCATAACTCAGTATCGAAGCGATCCATAACAAGGTTAGATGTGCTGTACTAACCCGCGCAGTTCCCACTAAGCCATAGACGGTATTTTAACGGTAACCATTCTCGGTTAAATCTTTTCAAGGGGTGGAAAAGTTAATCGAATTCAATTTCAAATAATACCAGTACCACTCATCCTGATGAAGGGCCCCCGATGGGCTCGAAACTAGTCGGTGCCGCCACCGGACGAATATACGTGAGTGTTTAGCCGTGTTTATATATCAGTTTAGTATAATGTCTCACGAAAGTTTGAATAATTTAATTTAAATTTACTTTGAAACAAAACATAAGTTTAAAAACCAAAAGCCATTTATAACATAAGAAGATTCGTAACATAAGAGGAAATCAAAGAATATTTAACAAAATCCTCTGCATCATATTTAACTAGTTGGTACCGGATTTTCGGCAACTGGCTCGGATTCGTCTTCAGGTACTATGGCTTCGTCAATAATGTTGGTAATATTGTCGTCTATAGATTGCTCAATATTATTATAATTCTGTTCAGCGTCCAGTTCTCTTTCCACTTCCTGAATGACATTATAATCTGGTTCTTCATATTGAACTTGATCGTACAATTGTTGCTGCGTGATATTCTCTTCGGCTTCGTAGTTTTCATACTGTTCGTCGATTATATGATCTTGATTCTCATATTTAGCATATTGTGCCTCGTAATGAGGATCATACTGCTCAGTGGACTCTTCATGATCATTTATATCTGTGGAATAAAGCTGTTGTTGCTGAGTACCTTCATAATAAGCGTAGTTTTCGTCTTGTGCATAACCGACAGTATTTACATAACCATCATTTACAACATTGCCTGTTTGATCATATGCGTACTCGGTAACATTCGGTCCTGAATGAAACATCTCCATTTGCTCTGTCTCAAATTCGTGAATTTGAGCGTCAGTACTAATGTTTTCTAAGTTTTGTACAACAGGATTAATATTAGCTATTATGGGTGCTTTTTGTTCTTCATGTGACTCTATTTGATTTAGCTTTGGGTTAGCTTCTTCTTGTTCTGTATTTGGTACAGTGGAGTTAATATTTTCTATCAGTAAAGGTCCATCTACACCTGGAGGTTGCGATGTCTGTTCCGAATTCAAATCCTTTGAAATATTGTTATCGCGTTTTATGTCAGAATCAATATTTGATTTAATGTTATTTTCTTCAAATACTTCATGTTTTCCTTTATCCTGATGATAGTTCGCAGATTGTGCAGTTTCCTTGAGATCCTCACTTTCGGATTTGATATTTGAATACTGCACTTTTTCCACTGGAATATCTTCTTCTTTTGGTTTTAATTCCCTCTCATATTCAGTTTGCATTTTTTCCTTCTGTGTTAAATCTTTACTGTTAAGATCTGTCTCAACCACATCTCCTTCATTTGGAAGTTCGTCAATAACATTAATATTGTCATCTCGTGTTGGACTTTCTTGCGGTGCTGTTACATAGGTCATGGGTTGCATTTTACTATCTGTATTTTGTGTAAGATTTTCAGTTTGACTATTCGAAATAGGCTTATTGAAATCTTTGCTGTTTTTAGAATTATTACTAAAATCTTTTTTGATTTCTGGCTTTTGAACTTTATTGATTTCAGTATCATTTACTTCATCAAAATAAGCGATCTCCCCTGAATTATCTTGTAGTGTTTTGGATGAATTTTTGTTATATTCCGATAAAAGAAGTTCAGGTTGAAGTTTTGGTTCTTCAATTTTGTTGTAGTTCAATTCTCCGTCTTTAATATTTATTGTTGTAAAGTCTTTACAAATGTTCAAATTAGTTTTCTGTTTGTCTTCTTTTTCGTTTTGCTTTAATTCTTCTAAGATACTGTATTTCTTTCTCCAATCAGAATTATCGTCAATGTTAGATTTTAAAAGATGATTATCATTATTTTCCAATATATTCCTGAATCTTGGAATAAGAATATATTTTTTACTAATTTCTTTGAGAATCTCTTGTTCATTTTGGATTGGCATCGTTAAGTTAAAATTGTTGACTGGGTTCAAACAATATTGTGGTTTTTCATACATGGGTAATATATTTGACATGTAATGTTTACGATCGTAAACGAGGTTTTGGTTTCCTGTAGTAAAATAATCCTGAAAAATATTAAATGAAGGTTAAAGTTAATATCTTACTGTTGGGTAATAATCGGTTTAAAGGTTTTAAACCGATTATTACCCAACAGTAAGATATGGTTCCACTTAAAGCGATTTGCTTAAATACCATATTAATTCACTAAGGCATCATGCTATTATATTATATACGTAACGAAACCTACCTTTGGTGTATTACGCACTTGTACGATGGCAGAGGTGGTACGAATTTTGTCAAGTCTTTCTAGAATATACTCATTGCGGTCTTTACGCTTTTTGTCTTCTTCGATGAAAGAATCATACTGTTTTCTTAACGCGTTGATACGCTCAGCTTTAAATCTGAAAAAAAAAGAATGTTTATTTTATTTACGTAGTACCCAATTGGTAAATGTAAAATATTTTTTATAAATTTTGAAAAAGGTTCCAGCACTACAGCCGTACATCTATTACAGAGTATTACCGTACTTTTTGTTAGATTTTCCCATTTGTTTCTCTCAAACCTCGGGTAACTTAGAAGAGCCGTTTCATAGATTCGTGTCGTATCAATGTAAACAAAGCAATGCCGCGTCGACCTTAGCAAAGGTTTTACATGCAGCGAGCCGCCACACGAAATCCAAAGAGAAATATCGGTGAATGTACACATTGCGCTACCTTCCTTTTTACAAAACTACTAAGAATAGGAAGTATTGATGAGTTATACGCCTTCTTATATTAATATTATACTACCCACAATCGTAATAAAGTTCTCAATAATTTAATACATTACATTAAGAGATGTGAGCTATACTTAACATATATAACGATATACAGACGCACAAAACGTTTGGACTTTGTATTATCACTTAGCAGGCTCTTTATATTTAATTTCTATAATAATAACCTAATATTATTAATAACCTTATTATATTATCTGTAGTATTAACGAACTTTTATTTTAAACACACCAAGTCTCAAATTCAATCAACAAATTCAAAGTAGACGTAGCGTGTAAAAGCAGCAGTACCAGGGTATTTCAGGCACGGCTCGTCTTTACGTCCATAGCATGAACACGAATCGCGAATGACCTTCGACCTTGCTTATTCACTCCGGTCACGGAAACGGTGTCTATTTAACTATTTCGCTATATAGCTACTTCGATTCTTTGGCTTAAGCCAAGGTTAACATCAAGTATTTGCGATTCAAAGATGAAATAGTGAGGAGCAGGAGTTCCAAGTCTTGGACTAAGTCAAGGTGGCGTGAAACCGTGAAAGGTGGGAACTTTTATTCCTAGAGGCCAGGGCCCACTTTAGGTTGTTGATTGATGCGCCACTTTAATTAAATTAAAGAATTACACCAAAGAGCATATAAAGACTTACGACTTATGGTAGACTGGTTTATATAAACGAAAAGTTCTCTGCCCCATTTTAACCATCATTTTGTATCTGATAAGAAAGATAGTTTTTTTTTTAATTTTACGTACAAGTTCGTAATTTTTAATTAAAGTATCAAAATCTGAAATTGCTTTCAGATATCCGGTGATATTCAGTTTATAATAAATGTCATTTAGTTTTCTTTTCTTCTTTAGAATAGAAGGAATACCAAATCAAGAAGGATTTATTTTTCAGTAAAGAATAAAAGAAATCTTATTCTTTAAGCTGCAGCTAGCTTTATGAATCTATTTATATTTTCAAACACACACATTGGAATGTAAAAAAATGACAAGTTTTTTTGAGAAAAAGTAAAATATTACTTATGTTTAACCTCTTTACAATGGCAACAATTTTTTTGACATTGTCAAAATTGACAAATTGATGACCAGAGACAGGTATTGTTATTTGCTCGATGTTTTGACTTCAAAAAATTCGAAATTGACAATAACTTAGGTTACCAAATTATATAATTAATATTTAAGTTAAAATGATACATAAATGGTTTCATAAATTTGTCCGACGAACCACAAAGCCGATTCCAGAAGATCAGGCACTTTTATGGAAACGTCGTCTCAGCTTAGCTTACGGATTTGTTGCGTGGAATGCATTTGGTTTGCTTCTTTTCGCCATTTATCAAGGCAAAGCGGATTGGGCACATTATTATGGTCTGAAATCAGACGAAGAGCAATCCATGCCACCAGGTATGATAGTAATATTTTAACGATAAAATTAAGTATGCCTGGAAAGCGCAGGTTTATGCACTTTAAAGAAGTTTCTTTGCGGGCATTTTTTTAAATTATAGCCTTATTTGGATTACCTATACGGACTGAAATGGTTTTAATATTTCCTACAAGTGAATTTAAAAATTGTGGACTCTTCATTATTGTTTTTTGTATTACCTGCCTAAAATTCTTGTTTTTTTTTAGCGAGAGCGTGGGCGAATACCTTGGGTATAAAGAATGCCAAAGTTTACAGAATATCTGGATTCAAGAAAGTGGACGAGTATGACATAGTGGACGGAAAAGAAGTGAGACAAAAGAAACCCATAGTAGATAGTGAGGAATTAGAAGAATAATAAACAGAATAATGTTACAAAAGCAAATGTTACACTTGCTTTGCAAGTATTGTAATTTTTAAGCATAAGAAAAAACGTTTGCTACACATCCACAATTTTTTTTAAAGAATGTGTCCAAGAGCAAAAATATAGTCAATAAATTATTACAATAATTATTAGTCATTTTTTACACAAAATAAAAAAATCAAACTGCAATAATTTTAACAAAATTGACCTCGGAGCCTAAAAATTCCTTGAATGTACCACATGCTGCATGTGTTGTTATTTACAATACAAACATTAAAAACTAATAAGGGCTTAAGGTTTTAAGGCTTAAGGTAAAGTAAAATTGACAATATAAAAATACCAATATAATTCATATAAATATTTTGGGGAATTAAAATTTCATCAATTGCTAATGATAATAAATATAGTTTTTTAAAACATTTAAGGCACTTACATCACTAAATAGAATCACATTACACATAATCACTTATGATTAGAATCACAGCTTTATAAGGCAATAAAATAAGCTCAGTAGTTAGGATGTGTGTGGTAAGTGATGGCGCGCCTTCTTCGCTCTAATTCTTGCAGTAAAGCAGATCTGGAATATATTTTTTGGTTAAATTTCTCATTTATTACATAATATATTTATCTGCCTACTAAACACACTTTTGTTTACAACTAGAAGTTTTGATCTTCGATTAGAAAAAGTTATTTTTTTAGAACATGTTATTTTTACCTATATCTCTCGTACTTCATTACAATGAGCTGCAGCTCTTGCTTGTAGAGGCGCGTCAGCATGTCCGAGTAGCAGTCCAGCTCACTTAGTCGGAACATGTTCCAACGCAACTTGTGATCTAGCTCTTGATCCGCTGATATAATAAATTGTTACTTTATTATTATTTTGTGAATTAAAATAGTAATTTATATTGTGTTATGATTATAACTGTTAATTAAATCTAAAAATCTTATAATTTGTAGTTTAAAAATGAACAGAGCCATGACCTTAAGCCTTAAGGTTAAAATAACTTTACCTTTAGAATAAACAATGAGCCAGTGAGGTATCTCTTCAAGTAAATATGGTGGCACAAGGGTAGGAACAAGTGGACTGACCAAGTAACAACCACCTACAAGGCAAGGATGTGCATATGTTGTTTGATGAGTTATTTCACTGCAACAAAAAACAATTATCGGTGAGGTAAAAACATACTATAAAGTATTAGGTTGTTGAAAACAAGAATTTACACATTCAGAACCACAATGCTGCACTCACTCATCTGCTGATATTTTTAATACTAACTAAACATAGTATATAGAATAAAATGTGTTAATACTATATCATTCAATGTAAGCTGAAATTTATAAATTAGAAATATATTCATACTTAAAATAATATACTCCATGATGTGGTGTAGAAACCCTCTGCCAGGGCTGCGGCACACTCTCCAGAGGATGAGTCCAATGGGTAGTCTGCGTGTTATGGTCCATGTAGTACCGTCGGCCGCGCAACGTGCGGTCCGCCGACCAGCCCGGGGGCAATGGCAACTCACATTCCTCTGAACCTAATACAATATTTGTAATAATAATTTGTGTAGGACATTGGCAGACCAAGGATTAAAGAGCTCAAATGCCTCTTCTTCAATCTTCAATTCTTCATTGAAAAATTATGAATTCAACATTTTGGGAATAATTATTATTCTAATTTAATTTAAAAAATGAAAGAATATTGGCTAAGAAGATAGGATAAGCAGTTAGTAACATTTATTGCAACAAGTACCTTGATTACTGGAGATAATGCTGCTGCCCGGACCTTTGTTATGATAGGGAAGTGCAGACGCATTCACATAGTTTGAATATATTGGTGATGACTGACTCACGGTTGTGTAAGCTGCAAGAAAATAAAATCATTGTTTTGTTCAATACAACATCTAGTTCAGAAAACTATTTATTAGATCATCTGTGATAAACTTTTACTTCAAAGTGACACCAAATTTCATCTAAAGATGTGATAAAAAAAAATTATATATGTTAATACTTACAGTCAGTACAAGTATGTAAATGAATAGAATGAGGTGATGGGGGATGCAGTCGTGGTGTTATACTCAGATTTGAAGAGATCCTCGGCATGCTGGACTCCCTGGAACTGTACTGCTGTTGTTTCTGTTGCTGGACCTATTACAAGTCTGTATTTTAATTTAAACCCACGGTAAGTGCATACTTACCATGGGTTTATGACACCAAAATCTCTGGTTAAAATATATCATCATTTGTGTCTCATCTTTCACAAAACAGTTAACATGTTTAAAACGGACATTTTGATCTCAGAAACCCATGGTTACTTCAACTAGACAATTTTTAGCTGGTGTGTCTTCATAGTATATCTCAAATTGTATTTATAGTTATCTTACCTGCTGTTGATTTTGATAAATAGGATCCTCAGGTTGTTGTTGCCTATAATACCTGTAACTGGGCTGACGGCTAAATGAATCATCTACTTCATTTAGAGTTGAATGTGATGCCTAAAATTGTAACAACCATAAAATGTTTGCTTAGAAAATTAAGAATAACATTTGTAATAAATTGAGCAAAATACCATGTTTAAATCCAGATGATATTGGGAATTATAATTGCTGGATGAACTAGCTGCATCACTGGTTGATAAACTTGCAAACCTACAATATTTTAGTATGATAATGTTATTATATGTATGTCACATCAAGTTCAGAACATTTACTCCGAAGTATGTACCTATGTGCTAAGTTTGGTACTGATTCACTGGGCGTATACTTTCCAGCATGACCACTCATAGTTTGAGCTTTACCGAACTTGTTTTCCATCGCTTGAGACCCTCCATCGCTTGCCGCAAATGGTTGGCTTCTAGGTCTCCTATTATTTCCCGTTGTCCAGACATTTATTACTGTAAAGTAGTAACACACCATAAAATACATTTACAGAAAACCTTTGACTTCGTTTTTTATTTAATTTGTAAAGTAAATAAGTTTTCGCTAAATCATAAACAATAAAACATGACACTTTATAAGCAACATACTTGGTAGATCGGGTGGTGTATCTTTCTTCACATATTTTCCCACAACCCCTTCGTTAATCGCTTTCTGACCTTTTCGTGATATCATTTTATTATATATTTAATAACTTATCTATAAAGATTTAACCTATTTAATATTCTTAATTATTATTTTACGGTATATAAACTATAAATGCTAAATGTCAACTTATGACGTTTTGTTTTTATGTTTCTACTTGCCAAATTAAAATTATCGTTTTTTATCTCACAAGAATTTGCAATAAATCTGTGCATAATTAATAATCTTCATTGGTCATTTGATTGAAAAATTTAAATAATTCAATTGAATTTTTAAAATGTTTGTTTTATTCAAAGAGTATATAAAATGATTTTATTGTAACATTTTTATTCGGGGATTGTCAAATGTCAAACTTTATAAACATAACACATGCATGTGTTTTTGACATAAAGTTATAAAAATATTAATTAAGTACTTGGAAATCAATTGTTTTAAAATGTTTTATTTAATAGGATTAGGTTTAGGGGACGCTAAAGATATAACTGTAAGAGGTTTAGAAATAATCAAAAAGTGTGATAAAGTTTTACTTGAAGGTTATACGTCGATTCTTACTGTTGGCAAGGAAGCCTTGGTGAGATAGCAAAATACGTTATAAATATCTTTTAGTAAAGTCTACACAGCTTACTATCTAATTGGAACAGCTTATTATCAAACCCAGCCTTTTTGAAAAGTCTAGAAAATACTATACCATAATTTTTACTTTTATATGTTATTTTATTTAGGAAGAATATTATGGAAGACCTCTGATATTAGCAGACCGAGAACTATGCGAAAGCAATATAGATGATACATTGAAAGAAGCAAAATATAAAGACATAGCACTGTTAGTTGTTGGTGATCCACTTGGAGCTACAACACACACTGATATGCTTCTCCGGGCTAAGCAATTTGGTGTTGAATCACAGGTATCAATTAAAACCATTTTTTACTTGTCTATAATAATTCTGTGTTGTGTAATGTTTGCATATGTTACCCAACTAGGAGTTGGTTGCAACTTTATTAGTGCAGAAAAATAAGCAGAGATACATCAGCTTCAACTATGTTCCTGTTAAAATGGGCCAGCTGTTTCAGAGACAATGTAACAAAAAAACTGTAAAAAATAGTTTTTTACTATAAGTAATGCCAGCTGTTTAAGTAACATGACATTTTTTAGCTTATTATCTTAAAAATGATTATTCCAGATTGTACATAATGCATCAATAATGAATGCTGTGAGCTGCTGTGGTTTGCAACTATACAGTTTTGGGGAAACAATATCTATACCAATCTGGACTGATAGCTGGAAACCAGATAGTTTCTTTGAAAAAATACTAGAAAACTACTCCAGAAATTTGCACACCTTATGTTTATTAGGTAAATCAACATAAACATTTAAGCAACAAGAATATTCAAATTAGTGATTAAACGGTACACTAAATTACTCACTTAAGCACGCTATTCAATATAATTTTTAGATATAAAAGTAAAGGAGCCTACTGAGGAATCACTTACGAAAAAAATACGACAGTACATGGACCCGAAATTTATGACTGTCAGGGATGCTGCAAAACAACTTGTGCAAATAATTGATAATAAACCAGACACAGGTAAATCCACAACACATCTTTATATGTCATTTAATATGTGTGTATGCTGTTATATTATGTATTTGTAAAATTTATTACATATAGAAGGTTGAATTTGAATGGAACCAGTCATGAATAAGTCTACAACTAAGAATATGTGTCACAGATCAAGTGTAGAATATATACATACTTCAGCTTTTAGGTATGATAGTGTAACCACCAACTCTCATTTAACATTTTCTCTCCCTTACCTAAAACCTGGCAAAGAAATAAAGTAATTATTTTACATTAAATATGTAAAATATATATATAATACATTTATATATGTAAAATTTTTGACAAAAATAAGGCTAGACTGCAAGAAAACAACAAAAAACACAATTCACGCATGTAACCCAGAGGGGAAGGCAGAGACCACGGACCTCCTTTGGCGTGACCAAATTTACCGCCGCAATCCACTTTTTGCTCTTGCGGGAGATAGAACTCGACGGATAGTATGCCG